TGTCCCGGTTATTTTCGGCTGATAATATCATATCAGCCTTATGCAGCAGAGAATTGAGGATGATAAAATAACTTAGACACTCTTTCCTCCCTCTGACAGATGTCCAAAAACGCCCCCCTCCCGCGATGGTAGGTACTAACACATAGGTAGGTGTCTACCTAGGTAGGTACTGTACTAGGTAAGTGATCAAGTGACGATACCCTACTAATATAGGTAGCAGCTTCCAAAATCGAGAAAGGGCCTTTTAGCCAAGAATGGATATGCAAATAGTATCGTCTAGGGGAACGAATGTGTATGATTCCTAGACTTCTCCTTTCCCCATACTGACGAGAAAGATGGCAATTTGGCAATACTTCAAATTCTAGAAATGTAGCGAGTGTCAAGTCATACTTAGGTAGAATAAGCAGACATTTATTATTTGCATTGTAACCTAGAGGGCCAACGCTTGCATATGAGAGAGACACCTCATTAATGGTCTACTTTCTTTCCGAGAATAGCCTCATCATACCAAAACGAATACCCCTTGACGCCGATTTGTTCCGGGTATACACCCAACGCCTGTTTTTGTAAAATACAAAAGTGCACCAACACCAGATGTTCTTTTTGCTCGCGGATGGGCATTTTCATATCCACCACCACTTTCCCAGGGCCGGTGCATTATTCACCCTTGCCAGGCATGACCTTCGCCGCCTGAACTGCACTCATTTTTGCAATCCACCCAGTAGATGGCTGAATCTTGCGGACAGTACGAAGCTCATCAGAAGAGTATCCAGGGACACGAATGTTGTAAGTTCTCTCCAGGACAAGTTGGATGTCGCGAATCTCGAGCACTTTGGAACCTCGCTCCTTTGAGTTTCGACACGCCGCATGTAGTACACTATCAACAAACGAGTCTGCCATGTTCAGGACGTTCTAGGACTAAATTAGTAATTTCATCTCAACTGCAGCATGCGATCAACTCACCTCCTCCACTTCAGGAGTGAGCAGGTTTCCATCTTGCCCCTCGGCTGCGCCTCCGCATACTTGCCGAACGAGTTCGTCCAACTTTTTCTTACTCAAAACGTGATCTCCTTCAGCTTCGTGATTGTAGGCTGGAATTCTAGCCATCGCCGGTTGGCTCATAACGCCGCCGAGGGTTCCGCTTCCTTGGGACATTGTAGGCCGACCAGCGGTCACGCCGCCACCAACCGAAACACCTTGAGGCACGGATGTGGCCTTTTCGGGAAGCACCTTGGGGATAGGCATTTTAGACTGCATTGGCGTTTGTTGAGGTTGTGGGGGATGTGCATGTAGATGACCTTGTGGTGTTGGTTGCTGGGGAACGTTGGGTCCCATCACTCCTTGATTCACTGCACTACCCGGTGTAGGTGTTCCAGTCGCGGCAGGTCGGCCAGGCACCGAGGCACTTCCTGGAGTGTTAATAGCCTTCTGGTTTGCAAGATCCATCGCAGCTGAGTGACTGAGAGCTTGCTGGGGACCCGCCGCCGTTACTGGAGCAGAAGCCGCCGCCGCTTGTTGGGGCGTAGGTATCCGTGGTGCGTTCTGCTGGGTCGGCGTCCCAGCCTGATTCTGCACAGCTGCCGAAGCCATCACAGGATTCATGGGGGGAGCACCAGGTTCTTGTTTAACCTGAACTTGCGCCGCTGGTAGTTGCTGGCGTCCTGGTTGAGGTGTCCCTTGCGCGGGACGTACCTGCGCCGGTGCTGTTCCAGGTGTTCCGTTAACTGGGGAAGCTCGACTAACGGCGGCTAACTGCTGCTTAGCAACTTCGACAGCCGCGTTAACAGGGGCAGTATTAGTTTGCGCGTTGTTCTGTTGCTGAGCCGCTTGAGGTTGGTTTTGCGCTGCTTGGGATTGTTGTTGCTGCTGCTGCTGCTGCTGCTGCTGTGGCCTGGACTGTCCTTGCGGTTGATTTTGTTGTGTCGCTGCAGCCTGCTGCACTGGTTGATTTCCTTGTTGCGACAACCTGACAGAGTTTTGTGCTTGCGGTTGAGCTTGAGCTTGAGCTTGGGCCTGGCCAGTGCCCTGCAGACTTCCCTGTTGCTTGCGCACACTGTCAACCCATTTGTGGGCATCCGTATGGGCTTTGAGCTGTTGATCCTTTTTCAATTGTAGCTGTCGAAGTTCATCTTCTTTGAATGGCTGTCCAGCTGCGGCTCTATCATTAATGATTTTATCAATTTGAGCCATCTTCTGTTTGCTCGCATCCATAGTCATCAAGGCTCGGGTATAACGTTCCTTGATCTCTTCTATCCATTTGGTAGCCTCGGCAGCGGATTTATCGATGACGGACTGAGGAGCTCGAAAATTAACCTTATTAACATGCTGCTGGATATGATCGGGGACTGGGTTTCGTCGAACGGCAGCAGCAGCAGCTGGTTGGCTACCTGCAGCAGCCCCGGCAGCTTGTTGCTGAGGCTGTGCTTGATTTGCTTGCCCAGCAGCGTTCTGTTGCATTTGCTGAGGGCGAACCTGCTGGCTCTGGGCATTCTGTCCTTGCATCTGCTGGGATCGTCTTTGCTGGATCTTTGTGATAAGCATCTTCGAGAACTCTATGATTTTTTGACGGGCAGCAATGTTGTCTGGGCTGTTCTGGGGAGAGTTGTTGGCTTTGTTCCAAAGACCTTGCAATCCGGCCTCGTACTTGGACTTTTCCTCGTCACTCAATGTTGGAAGGTTCCTAATCTGGTTGGGTTGATACATAGGTGGTGGACGTTGCTGTGCCTGGCCAGCACCAGCTTGCTGGCCTTGGCCTTGGCCTTGCTGGCCCATCTGAGGATTCATAGTGAACGTGATGGAATAGAACCGGGGACAGGGTCGTTGCTACGAGACGGGTCGAATGGTATGGGCACACCGATTATACGAGTTGGAGAACGTTACGTAGGGAGAGAATTGGAGTAGACAAGTGTAGAATACAACAAATAGGAGGAACAGAAACTTCAAGACCAAGAATAGAACTTATTGTTAAAATCTGGTAGTGTCGTGAATCACTTCACAGACACGCGCGCCGAAAGGACGTGAGAATGACACGGAATAAGTGTCGGTCCGTGTCCTTGTATTTGTGATCATGACTGGGGTGTGGTAAGGAGGTAGCTAGCTGTTGGGGTCTCGTGGAGTGACGGAACAGGAGGTTTGCCCAATTTAGTGGAACTGGTCTAACTTACTAACAAGTACCTAGACACCTACCTAGGCATGTGTTAGCTGTCAGGGTGGGCTGGAGGTATCAAATCGTTGCTCTTTAGGTGTCATCATTGGTTTTCAACTTGTCGGTCGGGTTTGACTTTGCGCGGGGGAATACGCCATGTGGATGGAAACTTCAGCATCCATATTATATGACCATAACACGTCGATTACCGGCGTTATCAAGAACCAGATTTCTGGAGTATCATTCATGCGCAAAAGTGCATTAGTTGACCTGGTTTCTTTGCTTTGATTTGATTGTACCTCTCTCTTTCTTAGCCTTTGAATTAATTACCAGTTGTCTCCTCCATTGCTCAGGATTTCCAGTTTTAAACAGATACCTAGGTTCCCTTTACCTTACCTCACGTATAAGTCAGCAGCCAAGGTAATAAAGAGGAGTTTACAAAGTACATAAGCCACTGAAGAGTCTCCCCAACGATTACAAGGGTCCAGCTTTCCCCATGCATCCAATTTCACCGGGGTCTTTATCCAAGCTTAGCCATAGTTACCCTTACCTTAGCCCATCCATTCATTCATCTCCACCGGAGCCCGTTCATCTTTCCATCTGGCCATTGCCTGCCTGTCTTATCTTCCCTTCCTTCTTCTTCTTCTTCCTCTCTTCCATTCCTCTCCAGCAGTCTTCTCAAGGTCGATATTTGTTAATGAACTTGCGCCATACTTCGCTGTCAAATATCCCAAGCTTATAGAAGTAAATTGCCAATATGCGCTTCTCGTCCTCAACTGTTCTTGCGGCTCTGCCTGCCCTTGCTGCCGCTCAAGACTCGCCTATCGACCAGTACAAGGCCCAGTTCCAAAATGTCATCGGACAGTTCGCCTCATATATTCCCAACCCAGGCCATCATGACCCTGTTGCAGCCGCTGAGGCCAAGGCTGGTTCTATGAGACTCAACGTCCTGACCCTGGAAAACTGGAAACAAACCCTTTACGAGCCTGTTTCCGCTGGTGCTACTTCGCCTGAAGAGTGGTGGCTGCTCATTTCTGGCGGCAACAAGACATGCTACGGTACGTTTGCCCACCAGGAATTTACACCATATGATTAATGCCACAAAAAAAAAAAATTGTTACCACCGTGTCAGTCGTAATGAACTAATGCTGACATGAAATTAAAGGTCGATGCGGAACTGTCGAGCAGGCCTTCAACGAGACCGCTGCCAAGTTTGCGCTCCTCGACAACACGCCCCATATGGCCTACTTGAACTGCGACAACCAGCCCATTCTCTGCAATGCCTGGTCTGCAGGTCCCGCCAGCCTCTATATCATTGAGATGCTCCCCGAACCTGCGCCCGTCGAGATTTATAGCAAGAGGCTTAACCTGACTACCACAACCTCGGACACTCTGGTTGCCTTCCACGAGTCCGGTAGCAAGGACCAGTTCCATCGCATTGATAGCAGCTGGTTCCATCCCTTCAACGGTAAGCTTGCCGAGTACGGCGTAGCTGTTCCCTTCGGCTACCTCATGTGGGCTATGGGCCTCATCCCCAACTGGCTCTTCATGCTCGTTGTCTCTTTCGGTAGCCGCGCCATGATGTGAGTTGTGACAACCTCTGAACCAAACAAAAGTGATACTAATAGCACTAGGTCCCGTCGCATGCAAGGCGCCAACGGTGCCCCTCAGGCCGGTGCTCAGCGCGCCCAATAATTCATTGTTAGCAAACACTTGACAGGCTTTAGTGACGGAACCGTCAAATCGTTCGATATATGGGAAAATGTTGATCTGTCGTGCAAATATATGAAGTTTCTGGCTCAGAGAGATGACTATTCTCGTGAAGTTGTAGACACCCTTGAAGTGATCTGTTCGTTCATGATTTGTTTTCGCAAGCTGCTTCTACGTTTTTGAGGCCATCAATGACCCCCTCGCCTATTCGACCATTGGCGAACTTCCCGTATCGTAGATCGCTCAATGCTCCTATAGTCTGTTGTACAGAGTCGAGCAAGGTTGCTTCTTCCTCTTTCAAATGTGCAAGTTCGGCATGTAGTACACCTGCGGCACCCTCAAGTTCTGGAATAACAGAGTTGAGAGTATGTTTGGCACTCGCTGCACCTGAAACATCTCCGAATAGCTGTAAGCAGCGTCGGTCAGTATTCGCACGATGATGTGTACTCGTTTGGACATACTGCTCGCTCCATCTCAATCTCGGCGTCTATATCCTCTCGCTCTGCCTCGCGCTTAGCCCGCACGACTTCTCGTCGCATTGTGATCCCCCGTTTCGCTTCATGTGCGATGTTTTCGGCGACTTGGTCGAGAAGATCTGCGCGTTGAGCTTGTAGATCTCGAAAGAGTGATCGAACCTGAGGTGAGGACTGCAGTGGACGGGGAAAGAGGGTCTTGAATTGCTCGAGTGTGACGATAGCGGTCAAAGGAGATGGCTGTATGAGGTAATTTGCAAGAAGTTCTGCTTCTGTTGGTGCCATATCTAAGGTTTCGAGTTGAGTTAACCCCCGTGCGATTGTTGAAAAAGGCCCTTGATGCTAAGAAAGGTATTGGGCCAATATGCTCAGCTTTGGTATGGGATGCAATCAGGACGCGTCTTGAAAATGAAAACGCGTTAAGTGCCCCACATTATCCCCAGCTTACAGGACGTTGTTCAGGAATTTCAGCCTTACCCAAGCTGTCAAAGCCTGGATAGGTAGGTAGGTACGAGACAATAGGGTGTTTTGGTAGACCTTCCGAATACCATTCATTCGGGGTCCTCCTTGTCTATTTTACTCTTCTTCATGTTTTCCCCTCTTTGTTGATAAACGAAGTTTCATACAACACAAGCTGGGAACAGTGTAGTTACATACATCTATTTTTCATGATATCATACCTTTATGTCTCTTTGGCTTCTGTCTGGACATTGGAGTGCCCGCCGGCGCCCCTCTTCCACCACGACTAATAACAGTAGTAATAGATGAAGCTGAGCTGTTGTCAAGTTGACCTCGAGATTTGGTCATCCTGTGCCAGCAAGTCAACGAATCAAGTTCCTGCCAAATGTCCGAGGAAACGGCCAATGTCTACTTATGGAACACCGTATTATGTCCTCTTTCTAGTGTCAGCACTCGGTAGTGAAAGGATCACAACATCATTAAAGCTAAATGGCTTAGGGATTCTTGTATCCGCTGGGATGATTTACATGAAAGTAGTATAAAAGCATAAAGCATACTGCTTATGACCCTTCTGTTGTCTGCTAGTAGTAACACAGTTCCCTAGCTTAAGCCTTTCACTACGTGTACCTAACCTCGACATATATGTATCTTAAGTACTCGAGGCTAGATGCCACGATGAAGAGCCACCTAAATGATGGCTAGACGGGAGAAGGTGAGGTCAAAGACGATGTGTATATATGGAGCTGTAGATATCTCTAGGGAATTAGGGTGTAGTCTATACGACTTACTGCAAGTCTAAGAAACTTGATAACGTTAAACAAGAAGGAGAAGAGAAGAAAATCACAGACCGTTTCCGGTTTACTAATGTCAGTTCTAGTGAACTTCAAAGGTGCAAGGCCTTTTCCTAGTGGCAAGAACCTAAATTGGCTTAAATCCAATATGGATTGATGTCTCGAGAGCGGGCCTGTGGGGGGGGGGGGGGGGTCACCTCCCACTAATCCAGCCCAGTGTAAGCCTTGGCTTTCCGCTATCCACTCCTTTGTTACCAACAAATCCCTTATCTTATCACATCCATTCAAGTACTTCCATCAGCTTTTAACTCTGAACCAACCTAAGGGGGCTGTCGCGTCGCGTGGTCACAGTGAACATCCCCTGTTCCCTCATTAACGCGAACTAAGTGTGTACCTTGCCTTCTCTTCTCCAAACTACGGGTACCTTACCGTAAATTGTTAACAGAAACCTGTATCTGGGCATTCAATCTCATCCATCCATCCCCATACCCATTGTTCTTATTATCAACACTCATCGATTTTGGACTTGGCTAGACGTTTGAGAACTGCATCTGTGCTTTGTTGACTTTGCTTTTATACCACTTTTTTACCACTCTTGTAACTTCTTCTCTTTTTTGTCCTTTACATAACAGACATGGCTCCTGCTCGACAGCAACCGGCACCACCGCCGTTCAGCAAAGATCAAAAAGTGCTCTGTTTCCACATGGACATGCTCTACGAAGCCAAGATTATGGATGTTCAGCCAGCCGAGAAGCCCAGTGATGGATACAAGTACAAAGTCCATTACAAGGGGTGGAAGAACACCTGGGACGACTGGGTGCTGGTAGACCGTATCCGGACCTTCGACGATGAGCACAAAGAGCTGGCTGCACAGTTGCACGCGCAGTTGAAGCATAACATCCAACGAAGCACTAAGCAGCCGAAAAAGGGCCTGAGAAGTGGTGCTGAGTCTGCTAGAGTCAGCGAGGAGCGATCAGGCTCTGCCACTGTTCAAGGAGGCAGGGGAGGAAGACGAGGCAAAGACTGGGAATTGGAACAGGTAAGAAATTCTTTGCTCATTGATATTCCTTGCTACGTCGCCCAGACCATACCACCCAATGCTTTGTTTGTTCTTTTTGCGAGTGTTCTCCGGCAGTTCTGGGCTGTGATATGCAAATTTGGCCCAGTTGGCCCTTTGGTGAGACTGGTTGAAAGAAGAAGCATCCATACTCTGCTACACTATTCACCGATACCTCCTTATCTCAAAATTGGGGAGAAGGTTGTTATTGTATCAAAGTGTGTTTTCCCATCTGATCGGTTGAACCAGGGCCATACCGAGCCTTATATTGTGATCCAGCGTTCACCTACCCCCAACACTGCCTATGGCGCTGCCGTTTTCCCCTCCATGATTCCTTTCTTGTCACTCCTCGGCCTTGTCCCAGCATCAAAATCCCACTTTGACAAGGCATCATTTCTACGCACTACATCCTTCCCCTCCCGCAGCTCTTGTCTGCTCTACTGTTTTCAAAGTTCCCGTGCTTCTTAGTCTTCTTCCTCCCATCATAACATTCCCCTTTGCTTAAGCACTTGCCCCTGTTACCCCCAGCCCTTCATCAACGGCAAGGCACTGCGGCGTCATGGATTCGGCTAGCGACCTTTCTGCTCCTCGGGGCTTTTTTCCTGCCACCAATGTTCAGAACTCTCCTGATTTGGCCCAGCCTGACAAGTCGATGGATTCCCTTAAGTCCTCTAAGAAGGTCAAGTTGACCAAGCTCAAAGAACCTAAGGACCATCTCACTCTTCTCCCCTCTAGTGATCATCGCTATGTATCAGAGTCGGGTAAACTGATCCATGATGATCGCTACGCTATGCCCCTGACTGTCGAAGATGAGCCAAAGCAGCCACGTCAGAAGCCTCTCAAGCCTAGTGCCAAGCCCAAGCCGCGCTCATGCGACCAGCTCGAGACGGTATTCGATCCCATATACACTCCTTGATTTCATATGCCTATGCAGCGGCCACCAGCTGTTTCGCAGCTTGAGTAATGCTTCATGTACTAACCTTGCCTTAGGAGGATGCTTTCCACAACAAACCTATGATCAAAATCCCGGTGCCCGACCACATTCAAGCGATGCTGGTTGATGATTGGGAAAATATCACCAAGAACAACCAGCTTGTCCCTCTTCCTCACAATAAGCCAGTCACCAAGATATTTGAAGACTATCTTGCGCATGAGCGTCCACACCGCGAAGAGGGATCTTCCAGCATGGACATATTGGAAGAAGTCGTCGCAGGCTTCCGTGAGTACTTCGAGAAGGCTCTTAGCAGAATTTTGCTGTACCGGTAAGTCTAACCACTTTTCAACGGTTCAGACAACTGACTGGGACTAGTTTCGAGCGCCATCAGTACATGGATATTAAGAAGCTCTGGGAGAACACTGAGGCGAACACAGAAATCACCAATGTCTGCGATGTCTATGGCGCTGAGCATCTTGCTCGACTAATTGGTACCTATTTCCCTTCGCCCCCGGTTATAGATAATTTCTTGCTGACTTGATGTTGCCAGTCTCTCTCCCCGAACTGTTGGCGCAGACCAATATGGACCAGCAGTCCGTGTCCCGTCTTCGAGAGGAGATAGGAAAGTTCAATGTCTGGTTAGGACGTAACTGCGAGACATATTTTGTCAATGAGTACGAGACTCCCAGCCAGGAGTATATTGACAAAGCTCGTAGCTTTTGAACAGCACAGTTTACCAAGGAAATCATAGTTTCTAGTATCAGGGCTTTTGCCTTGGGCGCTGTCTACTCCACCACTTGAGACTGTTTTATTGGGGCGATATCAGGTTTTAACTCTGGTAGATGGGCAGCGAGAGACAGACTAGGAGTTTCACTCACATGATGGCCCATTTTGGGGTAGTACGACTTGCGGTTGGGATAAAGGAGGGCTAGACGCGTAATTGTGAGAGTTGGGGTATTCGTGATACATCTGTAATGAGTATCGTGTTCGGGGTGTTTAGGGTCTTAATGCGAACTTCTTGTATTTCATTTCTGCATCTAAGTGATTTGTGAATTAAAACTCGATGTGACTTGATCGCACTTCTAGAGTTTCGTCCTATCTTGCACCAGCTTTTGTACAAGGATCATTACAGTATAGTACACTCCCATTTCTCTTCCTTGGTATCATCACAAATTTTTACATTCTTGGCACAGCCTTTTCAACATAAAACCCGGGATCCGGCGTCCGCGCAGCCTTCACTTCTCTTTTGCTCAGGGCGCGATCCACCTCCTCAACACGAACCAGCTCCTTCACCTTGAGGATCATACCAGCGAACTGTGGGTGAACGGGATGAAAGACGGTCTGCATACGACGGCGCAGGCCTAGAGCGGCGAGGACACCTCGTGTGCGCTCGGGAAGGCCGATGGCGGAGCGATGAAGGGTGATGCGGAAGAAAGACATTGTTGGAAGTGGTTTGTAGTGGTTGATTCTTGGGAGAAAATGGAGCGCAGGATCTATACTTTGTGTGAGCGAGATCTACCTATAAATGGGAGATGTGGGCGACCTACCATAGATAGCCTGCAATTGGAATCGAATAAGCCCCAGAAAGAAACACCAACCCGCCGTTCACGATTCGTCGGCCGTCGTCAAAGAAAGCATGAGCTCAAGAATCGGCGTCAAAATCACCAGGTACGCCAAACCGTTTTGGGAACATATCATGTGACCACCCTGAGAGGACTTCTCATGATGAACCACGTGAGCTAAGTCATCCGCCTCAGAAATACATCAAACTTCAAGGGATATCCTCCCAGATGTGCTCACTAATTCAAGAGGTTTCCTGAGGGGCCGTGATTCATTTCCCCTTAATCTGATATCTACGGCCGCAATGTTTCCCTACAGATATGATCGATAACATCAAAGATTTGGAAGCTGGTGAACGCTCCGCATTTAAAAGAAATTCGGGTTGATACAAGAAGAGTGATTCGAGTTGAAAGGACGAGGGTTCTCAAACCACCTATCATGTTGATCATAGCATATTAAGCATGTAACGCGAAAAGATTTCATAGCAAACATCAACATTCATGTCTATAGAATCAAGCGAGTAATATGGAGGTCCATCTTGCGGCCTCCAGCACTAGTTACATTGTATTGGAATCCTCATACAGACCGTCGTTTTTTCCCACGACGCGTCCAGGCTGGCACTAAATCATCAAATGCTCGACGCCTTATTTCTTCCTTTCCCATTTGAATTATCATCCTCCATCTCTTACAGAGAAACTTCCACCCGGCCCTCAGCGCCAGGGGCTCCAGCCTCCCGAAGGTTGGGGAGGAGGTAGGTGATGTCATCCCAAGGATGACGGTAAAGACCAGTACGCAGACGCTTCTGGTCGAGGAAATGGGCAATAAGACCAATGCTTCGGCCAAGAACAAAGAGACCGTTGAGAACACCCATCTTGAGATAATCTTCAGCCTCCTCGGCGGAGAAGGCACCGCAGTTGCGGACAAGATCGACGAAGCAGACAGCAATGCAACCATCAACGTTAAGAATCAGGTTATCTTTCTTGGAGGTGGTCACAGTCTCGACAGCAAGAGCATAGTCAAGGAGCTTGTGGCTAGGGAAGTTGTTGAGAACGTATTCCTTAACGAGCTCGACTCGGAGATCGGGGTTGTTTCGTGACTTGATACGGTGTCCAATACCGGGGATGAGCTTGTTGGCCTTGCGCATGCTGTCGACGAAGTCACGGGGGCTGAGACCCTTGTCGAAGGCACGGGTGAACTCCTCAGCCGCACCGTCGAGGGCACCACCAAATCGGGAGCCAATGGTCAAGAGACCAGAGACGAGGGCGCTGATCAAGTCCTTACCAGCACGTGTAGTGATAATGGTGTTCATGGCACCAGAGACGGCGGGACCGTGATCGGCAGTGAGCATAAGAACCATCTCGAGGAACTTGGAAGCGTATGAAGGCAGACGGCGGCGGAACCACAGCAGAGACATGACACCGCCAATGCCGATATCCTCCTTGAAAACGTCGGAGATGGGCATACCAGCGTAGAGAAGCTCCTGGCCACGGTCATCAGAGATGGTGGAGATGAAGGCAGCAGGCTTTCGGATGAGACCGAGCTCCTGCGCCCAAGAGTAGTCGAGAGGAATCTTGGGAACAACGGGCTCGGGCTGGGGAACGATAGTGCCTTGGGAGACAAGCTTGTCATACACTTCCTTGAGAGTGGCGGGAAGATCCTCGAAGGTAGCGGGGACGTAGAAGCCAGCCTCCTTCATCTTCTCGTTCTTCATCTTGGCAGTCTCAAGCTGAGAGTTGGCGAAAGAACCAGCGTGACCGAACTGAACCTCGGTCTTGAACATGCTGGCGCAAGTGCCAATGGCCCAGGCGACGATGGGCTTGGTGATGATACCCTGCTTGACAGCATCAATGACCTTGTACTCCTCAACACCACCGACCTCACCGAGCAAGACAAGGATCTTGCACTCAGGGTCGGCCTGGTATCGCAAGAGATGGTCAATGAAAGTGGTACCGGGGTATCTATCACCACCAATGGCGATACCCTCATACACGCCGTCGGTATTCTGGGAGATAATGTTGTTGAGCTCGTTGGACATACCGCCAGACTTGGAGACGTAGCCAACGGAACCCTTACGGTAAAGCTTGGAGGCAACAATGTTGTCCATCATACCACCAGTGTTACCAATCTTGAAGCTGCCGGGCTTGATACCACCAACCGTAGCAGGTCCGATAATGGTAACACCCTTCTTCTTGGCGACGTGGGCGATCTCACGAGCTCGCTAGAGAGTAATTGTTAGTTATTTTTTTCGGCACATGGCAATTGGCATGTACTTACTCGCTCAGGGACACCCTCAGCAATAATAGCAATGGTCTTGACCTGGGGGTTTTCCATAAGCTCCATGGTGGAGCTGTAAACACTTCTGGAAGAAGCAAAGTTGACGACCACGTCGACATCGGGGTGCTTGCTCATTGCCTTATCAACCTGTTGGTAGACGGGCAGCAGAGTCTCGCTGGTTCCCCAATACATCTTGCTGACGAATTGACCACCGAAAGTGTAGATGATACCGGCGACCGAGGGCTTAGAGCGCTTGCAAATGAAGTCGAAATCGAGCATGCCCTGGACAGCTCGCGGCTGAAGACCGTAGACGAAGCATCGCGTCTTGTCGGTGAAGAGAGCGTGCTCGGGAAGAGGGCTCAGAGGTCGGCTGGGAGCCGGGAAACGCTGAATGTTGTCGTTGGCCGACAGGCTGCTGGAGGAAGCGGGAGCCATTGTGAATGTCGAACTTGGACGGTGTGAGTAGAGGCAGGAGAATTGAAGGTTTAAAGCGCTGGAGGAACCAAATAAGGTGTCAGCTGCTGGGGAGAGGAAACGCTCTGAGCTCTCAGGGGAGAAGTTGGCTCAAAGGAATTAGGTATGGAGGGAGATGTATGAAGAGGAAGATGGGGAAGGAATTGAGATGAGTAGAAGAAACGGTCGAGAAGATCCGTCAGTTGAAGGAGACAAAGTCGGAGACGAGACAAGACGAGGGGGAGGGGAGTGAGTGGATGGGACGGGGCCTAGAAATCAGGAGGAATGACTGAACGTCTCTGGTGAGGTGGGAGGTGGGCAAGTGAGAGCTGGACTGGGCTTGGTTTTGGTTGACTTTCAAGGGTCGATGAGGCTTCTCTCAGCAAGCAGTGGACAGCTGTAGCACCAATTCACCGCGGTGCTATGTCCTGTCGGGTCCTGCTTGAGGTCTCACCACACCCAAAAAACTTAGTGGGGTTGACGCCTCTGCAACTGCAAGGACCGCTGCTTGGGGTTCAAGTAACGGGTACCTCAGGTACAGTACATCGAGGGGCAGGAAGTTTACCCCTGTTGACCCACCTCCCGGTACATCACTAGCCACCACTCGCACCAGGTTTCTCACGCAACCCATCGCCCACACCCGCACCCAGGCCATATTTTTGGAGCAGGTGGACGGGAACAAGCTCACTCACTCGCTTTTGGAGAGCCAACAATTGGGTCTTGCCTAATGCCTTTTTTGGTGATATCTCTCTTGAGAAACTCAATTGCCAAGATGGGGAATTCCTCGGCCGACCAAATGGACGTCCAATGTCTACAGGCGGCAAGGGGTGATGTAGTTGAATTTGATCAACCAGCCAGTTGGGGAGGAAGTCTCTGTTTTCTTTGGGGATGTCGCTTGTTGCAGGGTCCTCTTTTTTTTTTCTTGTTGATCTGTTGAATCCGGGCTTTTTTTTTTTTTGTCTGGTCAAGGCGGTTTGCAATTGAGCTTGAAGACTGGAGCTGCCACACCTTGAGGGGGCCGTTGTCCATGCCAGTCTGTACTTGTAAGAGGCGTTTTATCATGTTGCTTATTCCCCACTATGGCCCCGAGAAGTTTATGAATGGCCAAATTTGAGACCATCAATATGTGGTAACAAAAAAACACTGGTAATGCCTAAAGAATCTGCGCATGTTGTTTCGCGGCCAAGAGAAAAGAGACATGTCGACTGTCGTCCGGTGAAACGATGGGGTCATCCCGTGTTTTCGTGTGCAGCCAACCCATGCCCTGCATTAATCCATATAGAGTGCCTTCGAAGATCTTGCAAGATCATCGGTATCTCATGAACTGACACTTGAGTTCACTAGTCCATCTAACTTTGACTGACAGTACAGTAATACTCGGAATGTCGTAGGCCTTTGCTTCAGAAAACTGGCCGGCTCATGATCAGGCTCCCTTGGTCAAGTCGGTGATTTTCTTGACTGGTGGTGGTATCACGTTGAGATCCGACAGCCTTCCAATCCTACCAGACCCTTTTCCAGGGAAGACGGTAGGGGAATAGAAAGGCGGCATGGAATCATTGTTGAGTGGGACACACATGCTCACATTAGCCAAGGGCGACTGGACTGAAGCTAACCCTACCGCGTGGTACAATAGCAAGGCTAGAAAGATGAATCAAGTGAAAACTGGCTGTCACTAAACAGCTGGATTTGCATCTGTAACTGCGTTGAAATTCCCTACCCGTCAAAACGAAGCCACTTTCTCATCTTTCGTCTCTTCCTCCTGGACTGCCTAGACTGTCCGATTGATGTTCCACAGATGGTCTGCAGTTCCAAAAAGGCATGGATGCTTGCTGTCCTGTCCTGTAAAGAAATTTCTCTCCACCGAACATCGGAAGCTTAGATATGCGATTTGATGGATACCGAACCCGTAGCCAACCGGTAGTTGTGGGTTCGGAGTGAATAGCACTGAATAGAATCGGATAGCTCAAGAGCTTGAGGTGAGGCGATGTCCATCATGGAGGGGAATGGAGGGGCAGGAAATCAAGCTTAGACCATGTCGGGGGTGGCGTCCAGCCCAGGCGCTGACCACCAAAACAAGCCACTGGGCTGGTGTCACCTCGTAGGCTTACTTCACCTTGAGTTGACCTCCTCGAACTCACCGCAAGGTCAGCTTTGGGCACTTCCCCCGGAACCCGAGTCAATCTTTGCCAATCTCACCAAATGGAAGACTTCCATTTTTGTTTTGGTATCCAGGTCTTTGGGGCAGGCAACTCGCTTCGCGTACCCCGGAGCCAACCGGTGCTTAGGCCATCTAGGTTGATATCTGGATCATGGTCTTCCCCAAAAAGCAATCAAAAAGACTCAGGAGAAGAAGTGGCCGAATAACTCACGAAAGCTTCCGAAATTTTGAATCGATCAGGTTGGGCTGGATAGAAATCGGATCGTAGCGTGCGGTGCGTAAATTGACTGCTGCGGTTTTCGGCGGTTTGATGAAATTCGAATCAATCTGTCGTACGTAACTCAAGGTGTCGGTCGTCTTCCCCTGGTCCACCCTGCCCGGTCCTCAACAGCTTGAAGTCGGAGTGACATTGTTTATGTACCGGTACTTGACAATCCCTCATCGCTTTTTGGACCCCGTCCCCAATGGATTTCAGGGCCCAGGTACCTCCGCCACGCGCTGATCGACTCTGTAGCTCCAGGTACCCTCCACTGACCGCCCGCCCCAGGCTACTAGCCCAGGCCACGCCAGGCCAGGTTGTCGAGCGCCCCTCCACTCCCCCCCTTCAACTTGACCCCTCCACTCCACCCGCTTCGGGTGTCTTCCCCTTCCATTGAGCTTCCTTCAGTTCAGGTCCAGTGGTTTTTTCGAGAGCTCACCCTCACTCACACACTCCTCAAGTGTCTCGTTCCAAACTCTCGCTGCTTCTTTCTATTTGCTCCTCCATTCTCACCTCTCTCATCGCCTTGAGCAATCCTTCATCCTCTTCTCTTTCTCTTACCTTTTGCCCGTCTCTCTGTCATAATCTCATCTCCCCCTCCAATACTCGATTTCGACTTCATTGTTGCAGCCCACTTGAGCTCGTGTACAGTGGTGAGTGTGTGCCCTTTCCCCCGCCGAACGGTCGTCAACTCTCATCAAAGAGCCAAAGCCAATCGCAATCATGATTGCTTGACTTGAGCATTGAGTTTTGCGCTCGTATAAACCGCTGTGAAATCCAATGTTTCGTTTTGTCAGCCCTGGCTGTTGTTTCAACTCCAATCCTGAGCTGAACCATTCGAATCGATTTCATGTCTGCGAGACAACACCGATCATCCTTGAACCAGACCAGACTCAGCATTTGCTAACCGTATAGTCTTGACCAGAATTGAACTGAAGAAAAGGAATAAACCGGCACTCGCCAATTCATTCTAAACTCTCCGTTCCTCCTCCTCCCCTCATAATAAAATGTCCGCCAAATCGATTCTCGAGGCCGACGGCAAGGCCATCCTCAACTACCACCTCACCCGCGCTCCCGTTATCAAGCCCAGCCCGCTTCCTGCGCCCACTACTCACAACCCTCCCAGCAGACTCGCCTCGCTGCACTTCCCAGAGGATGCCAGTGTTGAGGATATTCTGAACCAGGCTGAGGTCACCTACCCTTGGCTCCTCCAGCCCGACGCCAAGTTCGTTGCCAAGCCCGATCAGCTCATTAAGCGACGAGGAAAGAGTGGTCTTTTGGCCCTTAACAAGACCTGGCCTGAGGCTAAGGCTTGGGTCGCTGAGCGAGCCGGTAAGGAGCAGCAGGTTGAGCATACCACTGGTGTGTTGAGACAATTCCTCGTCGAGCCTTTTGTTCCTCATCCCCAAGACACTGAGTACTACATCAACATCAACTCAGTCCGTGATGTAAGTTGAAGCATTATTCCCTCTTGTGTTTTTGGAAGAGTTTCTTGGGCGCTCCATATTCCCAATGCGAAGATCCTGGAATCGAAAGAAGGGAACTGGAAGAGGGGGGAAGGATCTGAAGAGAAGAAAGGGGTCCTGCAGCAACTTGTATTCGCTGCTCGGCGTTGCATAGTCTAATTGTGGGCTCGTTCTACCTGTGCCGGCAATCCTTCTTTGTACCGAAACGGGCGAACGGATGCCGCGATAAGAAATCGTCGGAAACAGCCCCCGTTCTTCTCGGTCCCTTCCGCGACCAACCCCACAACCAGTACCGGTTTTCCGGCCTACACCACTGCCAAACTATCTGTGCCTCATTTACTGACACCTTCATCAATAGGGCGACTGGATTCTCTTTACCCATGAGGGCGGCGTTGATGTCGGCGATGTTGACGCTAAGGCTGAGAAGCTGTTGATCCCTGTGGACCTCGCCGAATACCCTTCCAACGAGGAGATTGCTGCTACTCTTCTCAAGAAGGTTCCCCAGGGCGTCCACAACGTCCTTGTTGACTTCATCACCCGCCTCTATGCCGTCTACGTTGACTGTCAGTTTACTTATCTCGAGATCAACCCTCTCGTTGTCATTCCCAACGAGGACAAGACCTCCGCCGCTGTCCACTTCCTCGATCTTGCTGCCAAGCTCGACCAGACTGCCGACTTCGAGTGTGGTGTCAAGTGGGCCATTGCTCGATCTCCTGCTGCTCTCGGTCTTACCAATATTGCTCCCTCTGCTGATGGCAAGATCAACATCGATGCTGGCCCACCTATGGAGTTCCCTGCCCCCTTCGGTCGTGAGCTGACCAAGGAGGAGGCTTACATCGCTGACCTCGACGCTAAGACTGGTGCTTCCCTGAAGCTCACCGTTCTGAACGCCAAGGGCCGTATCTGGACCCTTGTTGCTGGTGGCGGTGCTTCCGTCGTCTATGCCGATGCCATTGCCTCTGCTGGTTTCGCCGACGAGCTCGCCAACTACGGTGAGTACTCCGGTGCCCCCACCGAGTCTCAGACCTACCACTACGCTCGAACTGTTCTTGACCTTCTCCTCCGTGCTCCTCAAAGCGACGAGGGCAAGGTTCTCTTCATCGGCGGTGGTATTGCCAACTTCACCAACGTCGCCAGCACTTTCAAGGGTGTTATCCGGGCTCTGCGAGACTTCGCTCCTAAGCTGATCGAGCACAATGTTTCCATCTGGGTGCGACGTGCCGGTCCCAACTATCAAGAGGGTCTGAAGAACATGAAGGCCGCCACCCAGGAGCTCGGCCTCAACGCCAAGATCTTTGGCCCTGAGATGCACGTCTCTGGTATTGTGCCTCTGGCCCTCGTCCCTGGCAAGTGGGAGGAGAGCAAGGCACAGGAGTTCCAGGCTTAAGGGGATGAAAACTTTACCAAGGGATTGGTATAGTATGAAGGGATGAACGACTTTTTGTACTGCAAGATAGACAAACGGGTACCAGGTGGTGCGATGCAATTCTTGGGGCTTGGGACCAAAAATGGTCGAACAAGCCGTGTACGGCAGTATTTGAGCTATAACGGAAAGAAAGCTAATAGATCTGATGACACTTATGGATTTGATGAGCCTCTCAGTTTTGCAAGATGCTTATGTATTAAGATGCTATGTAGCAGCCCGTTGATGCTGCATGGATATTAAATACATTCCAATGTATCATCTACCCACGTGCAATTTTCTTCCATACTTTGTCTTCCTCTTGTTGATCAAGCCAGATTGGTTTGTTGAGCTCGTTGTATCTTGCTATATGTAGAGGCAAATACCTAATCATTCTCTGCGGCGTAATCGAGGAACAGACTCGAGCCGCATAGAATGAAGCCAACGCAGAATCTTGTTTGAAAGAGTAGCACCAGGGGGGATTGATGAAAACGCGACGTCTTTCAACACATACAATAAGAGCACGGAGTAATAGCCTCGAAGGAGGTCTATAGGCACAGTTGTAAATGTGTGCTGTGCAGCAATCTTACTCGCGGTTCATATTGATAAGAACAATAGGAAAGGAACTTTACTGCCTCTTTCATATGGATGCAGATACTGGGCATTAACGGCATAGTAATCAAATTGGTGGCAGGATATGATAATGTTAAGTCAACCAAGTACTGATGGCATTGGGGATTTAACATTTTATGCCCTACTGTTCAGTTACTTTCACATGCCTCAGCCTGACAGATGTTGTGCGATCCAGAGCAGTTAATTCCATGTAATTCTTAAGTCAATAACAAACAGTGTATCTGTATAAAAGCTCAAATCGGGAGGATCTCAAAAATCTTCCAGTGAGCAGGCTCACAATCTGAGCCTGAGAAGTAGTGGTCATGTCACCAGATGGTGGGGCGGGTGGTATCGTATACTTTTCGTGTCTGAAAATCAAGCGTGTTCTAATTTCCCGTTCCAAGAACCAAATGCAGCACATTATTTGTGTTCTGCTTGCTTCTTGTGCCTGTTCCAGACAGGTTCCTAAAGCGCAAACACCATGGCGGCTAAAGGTAGGGCCATAACCCAAGCCAAAGGACGGTTGAGAATAGCAGCGTCTTCATCATCCTCTCCATCCTTGGCATCTCCACCATTCGAGTTGGTGCTGTTGTCAGTGTTGGTACTGTTGCTGTCATCGGTAGTCTCGCTCCCTGTGTCTGCATCGTTCTTACCGGACGCATTTGACTCGTCGTCCTTCAGGGGAATGACCTTAAGGTTCTTCATAGCACTACCGTCAGCATTACTGACATCAAGCTTGACGTTCCAGTCCGAGATATCGATGATCTTTCCGCTAGGCTTGTTCTTAATACCATTGTCGACCAGCTTTTGGGCATCGTCGGGGATAGTTGGAAGAGTAAAGTTGTTGTCGAAACCGCTATCTTCAATGATGCTAGCCTTACAGGCCGGAGCCTTCGGAGAGCTCTTGCTTGCAGGCTTAGATTGGACCTCCTTCCAGTTGATCCTAGCAAACTGGTTCTTGAGGCGGTTGAAATCTCCGAGAATGCGAAGCTTGTCTCCAGTAATCTTGACGAGGCCATAGTTGTTGTCCTCCTCAGTGTACTCATACACGACGCCACCGGAGAAGACCGGGGTCATTTCGTCTCCATACATAGCTTGAGTCTCATTCCAGTAACGGGGTTGAGGTTTGTTGCATCCATATTCACTGAAAAAGATAGGGATAGAGGTTGAGTTGAAGCCAGCTACAAGATCGTCGTAAGAAGAAGTCTCAAAGGTGGCCTCAGGCCCACACCATGAGTAGGAGTTGAGCGCAAAGAGGTCGGCACGGCTCATATCGCCCTTGTCCTCCGCATCGGCGCACTGAAGGTAGTTCCACGTATCCCACAGAACATCGCGGACATCAGCGGCAGAATAGCCAACGGGAATTTGGCGTTTCAAGTTGTTCTTGATGTAGTTCTTGAGATCGCGGGTGACAGCACGGATATACTGAGGGGCAAACTCAGCAGTGGCCTGGTTGTTGATGACCTCGTTGGCTGAGAAGAATAGAAGAGTATTTGGGTAGTTACCAAACGCCTCGGTGATGGCAAAGGTACGATTAAGGTAGGCTGTGTAGTAACTCTCCCACGGCTTCTCCGAGTGAAGAGCCTCGCCAGGCAGAGGAGAGTTGACATCAATCATCATATACATGCCAGCCTAACAAAGTATGTTAGATTATCATCCACGTAGGCTAAGCCAGATCACCTACAGCATTGAAAATACTAGCGCACTCATCGTGGTTGATGTTGGGATCCAGGTTGTAAACACGGATTGCATTGATACCAAGAATCTGCATGAGAGCAGCATCTCGCATGCATTCGTCTTTGTGACTGAGAGGATCTCTTCCGCTGGAAGGATCGTAACCGGCACTGCCTCCAGGTTGGTAGGCCATACCAACAATCTGGAATTTGTCGCCAGTCTCAGGGTTGATGAAGTCAGTTCCCTTGATTTCTAGAGGCGGCACGGCACCGACAACCACGGCCCCAAGAGCCATGAGGACGGCCTTGATCTAGTACGCATGTCAGTATGTTGTGTAACGAATGGCAATGCGCCATGTACAGTGGCGCAAGGTGAGGGAACATACAAGCATAGCGATAACGTGCTACTGAATCTTTCTGTGTTGGCTTTTCCCAAAAGTCGTGGTAACAGTACAAGATTCGATTGTAGACCTGGAAAGACGCAGCGTAAACAGCTTGATTCACAGCAAAAGGTTGTGTTGTTGACTGATGGTGTCGGTGAGGAACGCGAGGATGAACAAGGACCTTACCTAAGGTACCTCGTAAGCTAAGGCAGTACCTAGGTAAAATCAAGGCACGAAAGCAACCGATCTCGATGAGAAAGAGCGATAAGAAGCGAAAGGACCACAATTCGACAACAATCGCTTGGCGAAGAAGGAGCGTATGGGGTTGGAAGAAAGAGCAAGCAACGAGGTGGAGGGCGAAGAGGAAGAGTGGAAGTGGGTGGAGGTTAGGATAAATGTCAGCGACTGACAGTGATGGGTCAAGCAACAAATATTGCTTCAAGGTAGAGGCGGAAGTGTTACAGGCATGCCAACCAAACGAGAAGATTAGACGGGAGCAGATATGAGCGAGCAAGTGCAGGATGATCTAGCTTCAGACAAAGTCCCAGTGCAGCGGAAGAGGCAAGCTCAAATAAGAAAGGATACCGAGGCCAAGCATTTAATCGATGGAAAGGGGATTGGTGCATAGATCCCATCGAAATCAACAATAAACACAACCTGACATCAACGCCGCAAGCCTGGACCGTTTGCAGACTGCAGTCTATTACACCACTATCGGGAGACCGGCCATGGCATTTTGGCTCTTAGCATGAATAGATCAAGTTCCGGCAGAAGCCAAGCCTCAAGCCAAGATAGGTAAGTAGGTTAAGTATTGGGTTTTAGAATACTCTATACGAGGTCTCTAGTATGGATAGCAAACAGTATCGTACTTCGGTGGCACTGGATAGATGCCATTGTATCATTCCATAAAAAGGTGAGAGAAATGACAATCAATCAACGTCGATTGCAGGTCATCTAACTCACTCATTATTCTTGCCCAAAAGAGCAACTGAAGAATTACAGGACCCTTGTGTTTACAAGGATCCGCGACCTAGTCGAGTCGTTGCCGGGGTTTGTTGGCGCTGGTTGGAAAACTGGCTTTACTGTTTGCAGTCTAGATCCGGCGATTGAACGATGAGAACGGGGTCTCGAAGGCAAGTTGACGGGAACGGGTGGACAGAACAGAAGGCATCTGAGACAGTACATAAGACAGTTATAAAAGTCAAAGATGGGATACGGGGATGCTCGACGACCATTGGTGAATCAGGTCTGCTTGTCAAGCCCTCCAATCCACGTTGTATGTACCATGCTCAGATCCGATCTGGTTCAATCAACCATTCATTGTTGTTCAAACAAAACCGTTGAAGGGTTTCCTGAACGGTCCCACCACGTTTTAAATGTACGCTTGTCACTCGACATCCTTGCGCCACTACTCACTGCAATCTCTAGTTACACGAGTTAAATTACTGGCAACTTTGGCTGTAACAACGTTTTTCTTGGCATCAGTATCGCTTTGCTAACAGGGGAGCTATGTCGGTAAACCGTAGGCAATCTTTACCTTTGCTCCCTAAAATGAATCGTGCTGCATACCGTACAGTTGCTGTACACTTTCCTTGGGTCACCAGATGTTTGCACCTACACAGCGAAATGCAGCATAGTGATGCCAGTTTGGCCATCAATGAGGACCAGTGGAGCGTACGACTTGGATTGTTGTCGTCTAAGGATGTAATCCTGCAGCCAATAGTATAACAGGAGCTCACCTGAAAACTACATATCATACCCAATGAAGATGCCCCGTTCATGCAACGTATCATAAATACTCGGTCACCGAACTCAGAGCGACGCTTTGAATGGCTTCTGTGTCATTGATCATAATTTTGTGATACCTCGTGACCGGAGTTCCGTACCATGGTTGTTGATAACGTAGAAATTTCTACTTGTGGCAGCCTAGAGCGCAGTGTGAGGTCCAAATACTCGGGCATGATGATCTTTAGGTTAAAGCCCGTCCACACTTATTGTCATCGTCTCATGAAATATGAGGTGAGAATTGAGCTATGTCCTACATCATGACGATGCGGAGATTTCTACTCATCACAATTGGCTGGCAAACACTGTGTACTTCAATATTGGCCACCAGAGACACAAACCAAACATTTACCATTGCTTCATAATATATAGGCGAAGAACAAAGAAAGGAATTTACCAGAAAACCCGAACAAAATCAGCTTTCCAAGAGGAGCTTTGAGCTACCTTTATTGTATCTTACTTATTTATTTAGGCTACCCTATACTCTCGGGTTCCTATATAGCTAGTTTCTACAATGATCCAGTACGATGGCTCGGCGACGATGCCATAGACTAATAAAAATGCTATGATTCTACACATAACTGGGATTTACCGAACTTAAGATAGGCCATATCAAGCAAATGTCCACCAAGTGAGGTTTATGAGGACTACACAACCAGGTAAATGTATTCAAAGTCATTTCACTCTCATTGGGCACATCAAGTTCGTCAGAAACTCCAAGGGAATTGATACACTATGTAGGCAGGAAACTAACTCTAGATTAGAGTATGGGGTAATCGGTCTTATTAAAGCATAGAAAAAGGCCAAATAGCTCTCCGGGGTAACACTGAAAGAAAAAGAAGAAAGTCGTGTACAGCTTCGATATGGACTGACGGGTAGAAATGTCAAATGGTACGCAGCCAGGAAGAGCCTGGTCATATTCGACCAGTTCCTGTCTCATTTTGGACCTCGAAACATTCTGCCCCTGCCCTGACTCGCATGCCGATGTCATCGAAATGATGTAAGAGGCATTGGTTCTATTACGGTCAAGTCGACCTGCGAACCTCCTGACAAAGCATTTACTTTTGAGTTGCTCTACATCAGGCCGTGAAAGATATGGAGGGTCGTAACAAATGCGGGCTATCGAGCTGCCCAGAGACGCCGTTGCTCCATCGCCAGCACAACTTTAAAAACAAAAGACAGCCTAGTAGCCGTTCATAGTCATTCGTTGCGAGTTTCGGCTCAACTCGCGGTCAGCGGCAGGGCTGATGGGTCGGCTGCTAGCTCCACCATGAGCACTGCTCTCCTTCAGGGCCAGCAGTTGCTTGGCACGGAAAGTCTCGTAATGGATCTGAGAGGTGGTCTCGATAAGGTCCTGGAGATGTGTTCGGAGAAGGAAGTCTCGGAGATAGACAAATTCGCAGTGAGTCTCGTCCTCAACGTTGATGACTCCCCATCGGTTCTGGCGGCCGCGGACCTGCTTACCATTGACGATAATTGACTTCTCGGAACCGACAACTGCGAAAGGAACAAGATTCTGTTACGTATTAGTATGTGCACAATCCGATTGAACTCGAGTGACGAGACAAACCTTGATCTGACCGTTCAGAGCACGCTCCTCATCATCAAATTCCTCGTTATCATAGGGGTACATCTTGAGGTTATGGAAAGCAAACTCCTCCTTGATGCGCTCCTTGAACTCCTGGCGCTCCTCAACGGTCAGAGTGTCGGCCTTGGCAATGACAGGCACCACGTTGACCACATCAGACAGCTTCTTCAAGACGACAATATCAATGGGCTTGAGAGAGTGGCCCGATGGCTGGATGAAAAAGAGACAGCAGTGGATACGGGTATCCTGGATGTAGCGCTCTCGCTGTGCAGTGAGCTCCTTGCGCAAGTACGCGGAGTGCTGATCCTTGATGTACTTGACGATGGGGTCCCAACAGCGGTCGTTGTTGACAAGGTCGCCGTAACCGGGAGTATCGACAATGTTGAGTCTGAGTCGGACACCGTTCTCCTCAATGTTGTGAGAAACGGCCTGGATCTCAGTGGTCTGGCGGATAGGCTCGTCGGGCTGGAAGCGACCCTTCGAGTCGATCAGGTGAGAAGCGAAAATGGTGTTGATGAGCGTTGACTTGCCCATACCGGTCTGACCTACAATGCGCAAGACATGTTAGTATAGAAACTTAATGTAGACCGGCAATCACACCATGGTAGGTTAAACCATAGGGACGATTAGAACAGAGTCGTCACTTACCAACACAGATGACGTTGAATTGGAAACCACGCTTCAAGAGCTTCTTCTCAATCTGAGAAGTAATACTGTCGAAACCGACATGGCTCTGAGGATAGATAGTGTTGGGAGGAGCGGCAGCCATCTTGAATAACTCGTACGGGAGAGAAGTGTTCGATTCAAACCGTGAACGAAGGTAGAGCTCGGGAATGTTGTGAATATTCCAAGAAAGAAAGACTGGACTCGAAGCAGCTAAGGTCAACACGAGCGCGAACAGTTGGCAAGGTCAAAGTGACACCTGAAGATGTAGCGAAGCTGGGAGTTGGAGGTTTAGGAGAGGCGGCGTAGAAACCGATCCTAGGGGGAACTTTTCGGGCACTGGGCTTCCTGCCACCTTAGCAAACAATTTCCCTACTGGAAGGGAGGTGTCAGGGAGGTCCAGGGTCCCAAAGAAAGGGGGAAAGCGCGTTTCGAGCTTCTGATTGGTTCAAGAAGATCAGTGCGCCGGCTAGCTGATGATTGGCTGGCGGCATTTCGAGATAGCCCAGGGCCCCAGGCCATCAGACTTTTGAGCTGGAATTTAAAGCCTTGCGCATTTTGATCATCGCGACCCCAATTCGAGCCCGACCACCTATAGACGCTTCAGCTCTATCAGGAAACAATCACTCACCATCGAAGTACTGACTAATTTATCGGTTCAATTTGTTTCGTTTTCCAAGACCCCAGCACCGGCCTTGCAACTTCGACTGGGACTTGACCACCAAAGCCGATATCATTCATCATCTTAAGCCTATCAACGCCTCTCTATGAAGATGGCTGCTGCGCTTCTCCCCCGAATATACTCCCCGACCGTACTATCTACGGTGTCTTTTCGCCAGTTCGCCCAGAAGCTCTTCCCGTCGTTGTCGATTGCGATCCCTGGCGTTTCCTTAAACCTTCCCACCATCGATGATATCTGGGAGTCTGTGCTACGAGCGGTACCTAAGAACAAGGTCTCCCATTCGAGAAAACGACACAGACAAATGGCTGGCAAGGCGCTGAAGGATGTGAACAACTTGTGCAAATGTCCCGGATGTGGTCAACCCAAGCGTACACACCGATTATGCCAAACCTGCTTAGAAGGTATGTTGTTGCTCTCTTGACATAATCGATGCCATGTCCAATCTAACAATCTATAGAAATGAGACAAATTTGGCGTCAGGACTACCCTAATGATAGGTCGATCTAAAGAGAAAAGGATATGGAACATTGATGATTTACCACTCACTGTACAGTCACCCCGGAATCATGCATACCATGGGCGTTTTGGCTTAGTTTGAGCCTTGTATGAATATGAACAATATACTATGTAAAAGTTTGAACTACCTTCATAATATTCTGGCAGCGTGAAGATCTACGAGAACTGTGTTTTAACGCTGTGTGTACAACATCGAAGCAGCATGGTTTTATTATGCAAGAATATAGTGTGGTATCCTGCCTATCAATACATAAATGTTCAACTAGGAGTTGCTGTCTTCCTTTATACCTACCTAAGGTACCTAGGTATGGGATATCTTGAATGCTTTGTCTTGATTTGGAGCTTTATATTTATGACCCTGTGTTGCCCCACCAAGGCCACTTGCATTCATCCGCGGTCCAGTCCAAGCCAAGCACTTTCATTCATACAACGTCATATTGAAGAGCGAGAGAAGCACGGCATTTAGCACGGCGTGGGAGAGATGGTAAGGCCGACCGAAAACCTAGCCACTGATTGAAAGGCAACTAATCTCGCTAGTCGAAACAATATTTGACCACGCATACCGTGGATAATGGTGAGCTTGACCTCCCCGTCGCGGGGTGAATCAATGAAGCAAGAGTTAGTTCACTAAAAGTGTATAGCCCACATCACCGACATCTTTTCCATTGCGACGACATCCAAAGCTGTGATATCAGGCAGTGGATCTTCCACGCTTCACGTTCATGACACAACTGATCCTTCATTCCCACTCAAGCAGTCCATCTCAGATGCACACAAGTTGGGATGCCACCACGTGTGCACCTCACGGAATGGCAACGTCGCAGCGAGTGCTGGGTTTGGCGGCGAGGTGAAAATTTGGAAAGTCGACAGCGACACTGGCGAATGGAGTTTGAATGGCGAGATTACAGGATCTGCATCTAAGCCTGGTGAAGCCTGGGCTATGGCATTGAGTGAGAATGGATCTTACCTTGCTACTACAACAAATGATGGTCGAGTCAACGTTTGGGATGTTATGGATGAGAAGAAGCCCAAGATTCGTGAGTACGAAACCGGAAGTGCTGGATCTGGAAGCTTTGGCATGTCAGTGGACTTAAGCCGGGATGGGAAATACACTGCCAGCGGCCACCAGAATGGATCTGTCTACATTTTCAACAATGATACGGGAAGAGTCCTGTACTCATTATCTGGTAGGTTGCCTCGTACACGTCTCACATACTATTTCTCTGACATGTGCTACTAGGTCTCACAAAGCCTGTACGATCGGTTACCTTTTCTCCTGGTAACACTCGACTTGCTGCCGCAGGTGACGCTGGAATCATCGCACTCTACGACATGAAACACGGAGAACATGTTGGGAACTTGACTGGACACTCTTCGTGGATCACATCACTCGACTGGAGCGATACAGGAGAGTACCTGCTCAGTGGTTCAATGGATGGAAAGGTCAAGGTATGGTCAATTGAGCGAAGCGCGTGTGTGGCAACCCACAGTGAGACGGACAAAGCTCTTTGGTCTGTAAAGTGGCTACCGAAGACTGTCAGAAGCGAGATGTTCTGCACTGCTGGCGCAAACAGGAGCCTATCATTCTACCGAGAGGCTACTGGCGGTTGATCATTGTATAATAGAAACGGGAAGCTCTCAGTGATGAGACAATTCGATCACCGAGACAAAGTCGGATCCCCCCGACATTACAAGCTCATGTTATCACGTTTCACCAACAGCTTGTATATGGGAACTTGATGACATCAATACGATAGATAAGTGAGTTGCAATGAAATCCACAGACTGGGGGCGAGACCGGGAATCCTAGCAGTACCTAGGTATGTAAGGTATTGAGACCTAAACCTTAAGGATTGTTACCGATTCATGTCATTCGGAGCAGAAACTTGCTTTGCCATGAACTGACCCGATAATCAGTGTCACAGTGTCTGATACAAGGCACGTGATCTCGCGCTTAAGTTCGCGTTGTCCTGCCAATTTCAAGGCTTGCACGTCATGCATTTGGCCCCTCCAGCCTTCCCATTAGAGCCACCCATCTAGGTCCTAGTCACTGACCCTGTATCCGTACCCGTGGTTAATTTACAAACGACCTCACATTTCGATCATCATCACTCACCATAAAGCATCCGTTCTCTCAACATTAACCTTTAAGCTCGCAAATTGTCTTACTCTTCAGCAACAGTCAGCGCCTGTTTACAGCTCTATCGATTCCACCTACAATTCATCAAGCGTCATTCTCAGCATTCAGCAGCGCCATCTCGCTTTAGGAGCTGAGCCCACTATGCCCACAACTCGACGATCCGCTGCCAGCACTCGCAGCAGGGGCCCGCCAGCCAAGGGTCAGTCCACTCTGAGTTTCTCAAACAAAGTCACCAAGCCAGTACCCAAAAGCGCCAAGAAGTCTGCCATCTCTGCTTCCATCTCAAAGCTCGACCCCGATCAGCATGCTACACAGCGTGAGGTTGAAGATATTGTTGTCAACAACCATGAGTCCATAGAGATTGATAAGGAAGAAGAAGTTGAGGCAGTCACGGAGATTGAGGTAGTCCCAGAACCTGCGAGGTCTGAATTGGAGCTGCAAGCAGAGAAAGTTACAGACACACAGATCAAGAAATACTGGAAGTCCATTGAAGACCAATGGACTACGCCGCGATTGCACCAGCAAGGTGTATCTTTGAGTGAGAAGGTTCTTCGATATTTCGATGTCAGCTCACAATATGGTGTAAGTCAGCTTGGGCTATCATGGATTCACCACAGCTAACTCGTGCAGCCCTGTATAGGCATGCCTCGCATTAAGCGCTGGAAACGAGCTGAACTTCTGGGTCTCAACCCTCCAATTGAAGTCCTTGCTGTTCTTCTCAAGGAAGAAAGCAAGGGTAACAATAAAATCGAAACGGCTCACATGGATGAGATCCTCAATTCGACTGCTGTAGGTGCCTGAAATGTTTCCACCTGTTGTTTGGTCACCAGAAGCTGTTTCACGGAGTAAGGCGTTTGAAGGAATGATATTCAGGTGCCGATGTGGCTTTATTTGCTGTCTCAATTATTCTATAAGCGCATAATGAGCTCGTCGAACAAGAAATCTATGATCTAAACTTGGGTCTCATAATACACAAAAAGCCTAGAGGGAACGGGCCTCGCGGCCTTCATCTAGTACCAAATACTCCTTGTCCGATGATGCGGAATGGGCTCTTTACCCGCCGCTTCTAGTTCCTTCATACTATCATAGAGGAAAAAGTCTATTAGGATGGCGTTGACATGAGCGTCAGGGTGTTGACGCATAATCTCTCGTCGAATCAGCTCAACACACCAGATACTGCAAGCTAATTTGTTCAGTAAAAGAACAAGACTGCAGTTTAAACGACTTACCTCGTATTTGTAGCTCCCATGAACATCCGCTCTCTATCATCTTCTTGTCCTTGATGGCAGCTGCAACCGTTGGAGAACAATACAAGGCGCCCACAGTCATCAAAATTTGAGGGATACGATAATCTGCAAACATGGTGATCTTGTCGATGTCTCGAAATTCGCCGTATGATATGCCGTTGAAGCATGCCCAGAGATCCGCAACGAGGATTTGTGCTCTCTTCATCAGCCGAATCATCTTGCCATCCTCGAAACGATGCTCATCACGAAAGCAATCAAAATCCTGCGCCAGCAAGTTCACCAGGCGTGCCGCAGAACCGTCAGCAGCGTAAATGAGCTCTGCAACAGAGCCATCGTAGTGCTGGCATATGTGGTCAGAATTACTAGTAAATGTCAGGATTGACGGTGTTCTAGCTTACCTTGAAGAGTACCTGGCCAGCTTCTCGTAGGCAGTCTAAACGTTCTTCAAGGAGGGGAATTTCCTCCTCTGTACATGACCGGAAAACATGGGTGAGGGATTCCAGGGTACACTCTTCTTCGTTCTTCCAGTAGAAAGGATCTGTAATAGGAATGCCTTAAGTGAGGTTAAGTATTAGCTTGCTGTGTGAGTCATCGTGAAAAGTGATAGCTGACCTTCATCAATTGCTCTTTGGAGAGCTGCCACCAAACTCCAATAACCAGTCCATCTTTTCCCACGATACTCAATAGCAAATCGTTCATCATCAGGCAGTTCAGACCAGAAAGAAAAATTCAGCAAGTCCATAGTAAAAATGAAGTTGACAGTAGTTTCGTCCTTGGCCTTGGGGTGAAGTTCATGCTCTGACCAGGTGGCAGTTGAGTAACTCTTCTGTTGCATTTGCTCGTAAATGCTCTCCGCTGCCTTTTTAGATGCACGCATGTCGACGGCAACATCAATGCAACTGTCGTAGACGTATTCAGCGCTCTCGAGGACGCCTGTCTCAGGCTCCTCCTGGATATCGATCTTCCCCTGAAGATGTTGGCGGAGCAGTTCCAACAATTCGGTGTCAACCTCGTCATCAGACATTGCTACAGAAATAGGTTGTTGCACGACAGGGAAAAGGAAAATGAGCCAAGCGAAGGCAAGGAAGCGGAGGGGAGGGGGGAAAGCAAAGAGTGACAATGGCGGACAGTTTTCTTTGTATGATTCAGTCTAGACTTTCAAGGTCGAGTCGAGTCTCCAGGTCCCTTAAATTTTTATTTTTTTTGCCCTGGGAGCGGCCCCGCGGTCGCATAACTGCTATGCACCAACAGCCCATTGTGTCATGCATCCCTTGCAGCTTGCCATGGCCGAAATATGGAAAAGGAAGGAATTGTATGATGGTTAGTGAATAATTAAATGCTTCTGGAAGCAATCGATTCACATGATATTCACTAAATGGATCACTTTGTACACCCTTTCGTTGGAGTGCCTCTAAGATAGGTACTAGGTAGGCATGTCTGGTAAGAAAAACCCAATAGAAGGTGCTAAAATAAACCTAGTAAAAAGTCCCCTAAACTCAGGCTAGTTTTACCTAAATAATTTTATCGCTTACGGTCAAGGTCCTGAGTTTTCTTTACTCCCCTAGAGTAATAACATGCCAAGCCTTCTAAGAGGAGGCAAGCAAGGTTGTGTGACTTGAAGCTTGATATTAAGTACCTAATGAAATGACCCAGTTGGGCTAGCAGGAACTGAGCAGTCTGTTGGTGAATTTACTTCAGCATCCTACCTGGTAGGTACGTAGGTACCTATGTAAAGATGTGAGGTTTCTTGCTCTTCGAGGACCTCCGGTGTGCTCATTGACAATGGAACCTACCTAGGTACCTACACAGTGGAGCCCAATCATTAAGCCTTCAAGTTGACACCAAGAATTCCCGGCTTTAGAAGCTCAAAGCTCTGTGATAGGCTGGTCCCATTGGTCGCCCTGCAACGCCGCTCCCCTGCTGAGTGCTCTATCTCAGCTCTCTGACCACTAACATCCTAATCAACCTTCCCACTTTCAACTGATCGCGACATTCTTCACCAACAAGCGCACCGACTCGACCTTGATGCGCAGCCCTCGGATCGGGCTATTCCATTCTTTCGATCCCGTTTCCGCGCCTAGAAAGCGATCAATATGACGATGAATGCGACAAGCGCCGATCAGGCTCCAGCTCAGACACAGAATGCGGCTGCAGCTCCAGCTGTTACCCCAGCTTCTGAGCAGCAACGACAAATACACACACACCTGCAACAACAGCAGCAGCAAAAGAAAACTGCTTCATCCGAGAACGAATCCCAGAAACGAACGCCGGCCATGACGCGTGACCGACACAACCAGCAGTCGCTAGGCGCATCACTGAATACCTCTGTCAAGCAGGTACGTTTCTTATGCATGGAACTAAATATCACCACCTCTCAGCCTTGATCTCGCACCAGGATCCGACGCGATCCGACGCCTCAGGAGCGATGTGTCTAGGACTGGACTGTATGCGATGCGACATGGCGATCTTGCTCGACCACTTCTTATCATTGTGAGTATGCTAACTCGGATCGCGCAGGCTCGTGTGCTCATGGTTGGTGCTGGCGGAATTGGATGCGAGTTGCTCAAGAACCTGGTCCTCACAGGCTTTGGCGAAATACATATTGTAGACCTCGATACCATCGACCTTTCGAACTTGAACCGACAGTTTCTTTTCCGTCACGAACACATAAAAAAATCCAAGGCTTTAGTGCGTCGTTCTGCCCAAAATGGAGTTTGGTTAGATACTAATCAACGCGCAGGTGGCCAAGGAGGCAGCAGAACGGTTTAATCCCAATGTCAAAATTGTCGCACACCATGGCAATATAAAGGATGATGAATTCACTGTGGCCTGGTTCCAACAATTCCGCATTGCTTTCAATGCTCTGGATAACCTCGAAGCGCGCAGGCACGTCAATAAGATGTGCCTGGCAGCTGATGTACCCCTGATCGAGAGTGGCACCACCGGATTCAATGGCCAGGTGCAGGTTATCAAAAAAGGCGTTACTGCATGCTACGATTGTACTCCCAAGGAAGCACCCAAGTCTTTTCCTGTGTGTACAATTAGAAGCACCCCTAGTCAACCCATCCACTGCATTGTCTGGGGCAAAAGTTATTTGCTCAAGTATGTATATAGATATCGACTTGCGGAATATTGCTAACAAAGAATTTAGCGAGATCTTTGGCACAAGTGAAGATCAGGCTGCGTTTGACCACTCAACTGATGCCGACAATGGTAAGTGAGATGCTGTGTTAACGAACAACACATACTGACAAGAGCCAGCCAAAGAGATTGAAGAGTTGAAGAAAGAATCTGAAGCTCTCAAGATGATTCGGGATGCTACTGGCACGTCCAAGTTCCCTCAGATGCTATTTGATAAGGTGTTCAACGCCGACATTGAGCGACTACGTTCCGTGGAGGGGATGTGGACATCCCGGCGAGCTCCTGAGCCTCTTCAATATCAGACCATTCTCGCACAGGCTGGCGAGGCTATCGCCAACAAAGAAAAGATTCTGAATGACGATCAGCGGGTTTGGTCCCTGCAAGAGAGTTTAGCTGTCTTCAATGACAGTCTTGACCGACTAAGCAAGCGAATTCTTGAACTCAAGAAGAACAAAAAACCTGAAGACTCCGACCCCACAATCACATTTGACAAGGACGATATTGATACCCTTGACTTTGTGACAGCAAGTGCCAACATTCGCTCAACAATTTTTGGAATTGACAGGAAGTCTCGGTTCGATACCAAACAGATGGCAGGCAACATTATTCCAGCGATTGCCACAACCAACGCAATCGTCGCTGGTCTCTGTGTTCTTCAGTCTTTTAAAGTCTTGAAGGGCGAGTATGCACAGTCCAAGGAGGTCTTCCTGACCCCCTTTGCCCCAGCTCGACTTCTGGCCCCTGATAGGTCCAGAGAGCCAAATCCCGAATGCCCCGTGTGTAGCGTTTACTTCACAAGTATTGTTGCAGACTTGTCTCGGGCGACTCTCAAGGATCTCATTGATGACATCGTCTTGTCAAAGCTGGGATTTGAAGGCAAGGAGTTTGTCGTGAACAATGACATAGGAACCTTGGTTGAATGTTTTGAAGACGGCGACGACGAGAATCTACCCAAAAAGCTGACTGATCTCGGTAAGGCCTCGTCGAAAGGACAAATGAATTGCTCGCGGGGGACTGACAAAACTATTAGGTATCAAAAAGGACTCGTTCTTGACTGTCATCGACCAGGACGACGAAGACACGCTCGTCAATGTGGTTATCAATGTCCGAGAAGGGTCTGTCTTTGTCTCTGTTGTTATTGAACTAGGCTTACAATTTATAGTACATTGAAAGAAGACGAGAAACCGGTCAAGGCTACATTCGCGGATGTCCCTGAGATTCCACGTCGACCAAAGAAGCTCCAGCCAGTCTCCGCGAATGGCAATGGGAAACTCAACGATGAGCAGGCCGTTAGTGCCGAGCCGAAGGGTATCAAGAGGCCGCATGGAGAGGACGCTGAACCACCTCTCAAGAAACTCAAGATCACCGAATCCGGAACCGATATTGTAGACGTGGACGAAGTCCAAAGTCATGCCGGCGGCGGCGCTATCGTCATTGACGATTGAAGGGTAATTCGAGGGGTTGAAAGGACGATGCATATATCCTAGGACCCATGGCTTTACTAGTTGGCGCTTAAGCCACCATCCAGGTTCAGCACGCAATTGTTGGCGAAACGGTTGGTTATCAAAAACATGGCAGCGTCGGCTACCTCATCGGGCGTGCCCAAACGACCCAAGGGACACTGCTTGAGGTAAGCTTCACGAGCAGTCTCAGGAAGTTCTAATACAGGGCATTGTACATTAACATTGGTTTTCGTCTTCGCAAGGGTGATTGGCGCCAGGGATTGAAGGCGTAGGAAGGGGAGACTCACCATTCCACATTGGACTCTGTATCCAGCCCGGCAACAATGTGTTGACGCGGACAGAGCGACTTTTATACTCAAGGACTAGGGCACGGGTGAAAGCTGCGACGATATGGAGTCAGCAGGTTTTTGAAATGTATAATATTGTGGGATTCATTAGCATAAGATTAGGGATATATCATGAACGTACCAATGACACCTGCTTTTGAAGCGGCGTATACTGCAGCACCAGCACCCATTTTGGTAGCCATAAGACTTGAAACATTGATGATGCATCCTATGAGCACATGTGAGAAGATGCTGTCGGACATAAGTAACTGCTTTGTGAGACGCACCATGAGGGGTTAATTTGGCATATTTAGAGGCGAGGATAGTCGCCCGGAGGTTGAGGTTAAGAATCCGTTGAATTTCCTCTTCGCCGGTTCTTTTGAGCACCGACGCTTGACTGGTGCCAGCACAGTTGACGAGGACATCAACGGGGCCTAGAGTGGGAAATAGACCCTTGAAAATGTCTATCCTTTGAACATCCAGGCGTTTGAATTGGTGCTCTGTTGGGCGCCTACTGCCCTCGAAGTTCTCCATGTACGGGAGAGGCTCAAAGGGTTTGAGTCTGGATTCAAGGACTTGGCGATCATCAACGGCATTGCGGCTCATGATGGTTACAACAGACCCGCGGTCTGCAAGCGCGCTCGCGATACGGAAGCCCAGCGTACCGGTACCTCCGACCACGATGGCATGTTTACCGCGGAGAGAGAAGGACATGGGCGGTGGTGGAGGCGGGATGTGTGAGGTGGTTTACAAGTAGTGAGTTTGATGTGGTGATGAAATTTGAACTTTGAGTCTGTAAATATCGACTTGAATGGAGACGAAGGCCCGACCTTTTACGATAAAGCTGTATACATAGAAATTCACGACATACTGCGAAGTGAACATGTTTTACGATTTATTTTCATCTTCATTCTTCAGATTGCTTTTGATCGTGGCGAACCGAATATTCTCTGCTTTTCAATAATATGCTTAATTACCTACCACCAACCTCCCATACAGCACCGATGTCATTGCCACACTGTACGGTGTTTGGTTTTTTTTAAGCCCCAGATAACACCATCGAAGCACCTCTGAACAAGCAATCGGTTCCTGTCTGGCTGTATGTCATGGCCGATATTCGTCTCCTAGTAGCAATTGCTTTTTTGCACATACTTAAGACGACTTCTCCGTTACTATGATCATTTCCATATTCGCCTCTGTAAATACTTACGAGACCAGAACCCCCTGCTTTTAGACAAGTGGCTTGCTTGTTTAGTACATCTCATCAGCTTCCATGATGGGTTTCGCTTCTGGGGTATCAACAGGGGACTGAAGAGGAGAACCGCAAAGTTTTAAGTTAGCGAGGTAACCGATCCGTTGATTAAACCCTGATTTCGTGCCTTGCCTTGCTGTCCTTTACGAGCGCCAAGGGTTTGAAGCCAAACACAGCGGACGTCGATGAACAGTCAAACAAGATGATACCGGACAGATATCTACCTAATCTGACCCTTTTATCCCACGACAAGGATCAATTGACCATTGCCGTTCCTTACTGGATACATAACCAAATAGCTGACCACCTACCTGCCTTTCACACTTGAACCTTGGCCTCTGCTGGTCTGGTTCAGTGCATGTAACATAGTGCAAAACTCCACTTGATCAAACTCCCGCCGCTTCCATCCACCGTTGGTTAACTATTCCCACTAAACTCCTCCATTGCAACTACATTCTCAGCAGGGCTTCTGTCCATTGAAGCCCAAGGCCGAACTCAGGCCCACGACATTCCTTATCGGGTCTCTTTGACCTCAATGTTTCTTCGTTGTATCGGACCTTGTACTCGTCGCAATTGACGTATCTCTCACCCTACTCCCGCCGCAAAACCATGAGCGACCCTCAACGCGATGCCCCGCCGTTGAGCGCCCACATTCCCGCTGCCACCACGACCACGACGGTTTTGCCTACGACAAACGGCTCTGCCAAAGGCGATGACGTTCCCGATGCCGGACTGAGAAGTCTCGATCACTGTACGCCTCAGTAACGACCTCTCTCGCGCCACGCGCTTTGCTGATTGCTCTTCTCGCAGACAAGCGCGCCCTGCCAAAATGGCGGTACAATCTGCGCCAACAGATGCTGCCTCTGATCCGCTGGGAGACACCGTACCTTGCGTGGATGCAAGAGAAGTTGCGGACTCCAGCTCTCGATAGCTACTTCGCCATCACTGCCAACCTCGGAACCCATACCTTCTTCATGATCGGATTACCCATCTGCTTCTGGTGTGGTTATGCAGCATTTGGCAAGGGGTAAGTCACACCATGTTCAACGTCTACACACGCTGCGCTGCGGCGCATGATGTTGCGCTGCAGTTGCAGCAACAAATCTCTAGGTTCGATTGAGATTACAGGATTAACAGGTACTGACATGCTTCATTGTGTAGACTGGTGCATATTCTTGCTCTCGGTGTCTTCTGGACAGGCTTTATCAAGGACTTCTACTCTCTCCCACGACCACTCTCGCCTCCCTTGCACCGAATTACGATGTCTGGTTCTGCAGCCCTCGAATATGGTTTCCCTTCGACCCATAGCGCCAATGCTGTGTCTGTCGCCGTCTATGCGCTTCTGATACTACGCAGTCCCGATAACACGCTAGCTCCAACCACCAAGTTCGCACTCGAATGCCTCTCGTACTTTTACGCTGCTTCGATTATATTTGGGCGCTTATACTGTGGCATGCATGGCTTCCTAGACGTAATTGTCGGGTCTATCATGGGTGCCGCTATTTCTCTGCTCGAATTCTACTACGGACCTCCCCTTGATGAATATATGCACTCCAGCTCTTGGGCTGCGCCTCTTGTAGCTGCCTTGATTATTCTTGTACTCGTGCGCATTCACCCTGAACCGGCAGACGACTGTCCATGTTACGATGACAGTGTTGCTTTTGCTGGTGTTGTCATTGGCCTTGAATTCGGCACCTGGACGTACGGCAAGATTGCGCTAGATCCTTGGGAGACTCATGCGCATGGTGGAGGATCTGTGGATATTACGCACTTGGGATTGGCTGCTAACGTGGCTAGGATCGTTTTCGGCGTTCTTGTCGTATTTGCGTGGCGCGAGACGATGAAGCCTCTACTGCTTAAGCTCTTGCCTCATCTATTCCGAATATTTGAACAGGTTGGGGTGAACATGCCTCGACGATTCTTCACTCCTGCCAGTAAGTACAAGACTGTACCAACAGGCTCTCGTATCGATACACTTTTCCCTTCGCCGTCCGACTTCCCACGCATGGTCGAGAGTATCCGAAACCCTACCACCCGAGGTCGCTCTGTGTCAATTGGTCCTCAGAGTGCCGCAGATGCATACGAGACCTTGGCGTATAGAGAGCGCAAGCGACGCGAGAGTGTCAGCAGTAACCATAGCCTGAAGAGCAAGTCAAGCAACCTGGAGCTCCAGACCACGCATGAAGACTATTCTGGCAAGGGAGCTCAGGCGTCTGGTGCACAGGCAAACCGAATCGTCGAATTCGAGCAGATGATGGGAACCGGCGAAGTTGTGACAACACCAGCCGCCGATGATGATCGGGTTGAGATCTTTGTTACGGGCACCGAGGACGGGTTGGGAGAGCGCGAGATGTTCTCGCAATTAATCAAACCTCGTGTGCGATACGACGTCGAGGTCGTGACTAAGCTCGTGGTTTACACTGGTAAGTTTCTGGAGATTTTCTCCTGACCAGAGAAATGGGTTGCTGACTGATGTGATAGGAATTGCTTGGTTTGCAGTGGCTATTATCCCCATAATGTTTGAGATTGTGGGCTTGGGGACGAATCAGTTACGTGAACGATGAGTGATGAGATGAAATGAGACAAGAGAGGCCACCGCCTTGTATTATTTTCTAGTGGCCTCCGGGATACAATTAGATATTCTTCTTTTTAATGAACATATAGGGTGACGAACGATGGGCGCTGGAAATGGTTTATTGGTTATGTCGCCTCGGGGTTTCTTTGGGTGATATATCTCTAGACAACTTTAGAGTTGCAATTGACACTGAGTCGTATTCACGATAGCATATTCGTTCGAGTCAATGCTATAATGGTCTTTTATTTGAAAATAAACATCATACAAAAAGATGTACTGATGTCTCAAGGAAGGGTCGTACTTTAGTTAAAAGGTGTAAGTGGGACGTTGACGATTTCGCCCCTGTGATTGGCCGTTGCTATGTGCAAGGGTCTTAATTGACTGACACGCTTAAGACGCGTTTAGGTGCAACCTAGCGCGTGTTCCTCACTGGCCTCAACGTTCAAACTTCCATACAGCGCAACAAGCTCAAGAATTGGGACGAGCAACCCCGGAAACACCACCAAAGGAACTGCAAAGACCGAAAACAACAAGAAAGCAAGCGCAAATATGTCCGATATTGGGGATGAGATGGACGTTGATGTCCCCGTTGTCAGCAAAGATGTGATATTTTCCTCTGAAGCCAAGCAAGGCAAGCGAAGTGCTGCCAATCTGCCAGTTGAGGCTGAGGATAGTCTCCCTTGGTAGGTGCTTGTAAGAAACACCATCAAATATCAGGATTAACGGAGCCCAGGGTTGAAAAGTACCGCCCAAACACCCTCGAAGACGTCTCGGGCCATCAAGATATCCTCGCTACTATCAACAAATTTATCGATCAGAATCGTCTCCCACATCTGCTCCTCTACGGTCCTCCAGGCACTGGAAAGACGTCGACAATTCTGGCCCTTGCTCGTCGTATCTACGGAGCTGCGAATATGCGCCAAATGGTGCTCGAACTCAATGCCTCAGATGACCGTGGCATCGATGTAGTGCGAGAGCAGATCAAGACATTTGCCAGTACCAAACAGATCTTCTCCATGGGTGGCGCATCCGCCCGCTCAGGCAACTCGATGGCTGGATTTAAGCTCATTATTCTGGATGAGGCTGATGCTATGACGAGCACAGCCCAAATGGCTCTACGACGAATAATGGAGAAGTACACCACCAACACACGGTTCTGTATCATTGCAAACTATTCCCACAAGCTTAGCCCCGCACTGCTGAGTCGATGTACACGGTTCCGCTTCAGTCCGCTAAAGGAGGGCGACATTAGGGTGCTAGTTGACAAGGTGGTGGAGGAGGAGCATGTTAGGATTGGCGGAGAGGCAGTTGATGCGCTGGTGAAGCTGAGCAAGGGTGATATGCGAAGAGCACTGAACGTTCTACAGGCCTGTCACGCATCAAGTGAGTCTGCGTGCATCTATCTTTACCAGCGTGAGCGCTAACAGACGCCCAGGTACACCATTGCGAGCGAAGGATGCACCCAAAGTACCTGACAGCGAAATTGAACGCGAAAATATCACAACGGAGACTATTTATAACTGCATTGCGGCACCCCCACCCGATGCCATCAAAGAGATTGTGTCGACGCTGCTTAAGACATCGGATGTCACAAGTTGTCTAAACACTATCAGCGCTCTCAAGGTGTCGCGAGGTCTTGCGCTGGCTGATATTATCACAGCGCTCTCCGAGGAGTTGGTGAAGCTAGAGGTTGGTCCTGAGGTGATGATCACCTGGCTGGATGGTCTCGCCAACATCGAGCATAGAGTCGCCGGTGGAGGCAGTGAGTTGATCCAGACTGGAGCAGTCGTTGGAGTTGTCCGAAACGGAGTTGAGTTGATGAGCAGATAGTCTCGGAATCTCTACGGGATATCTAGCGTCTGTCTGCGGCACAAGGATGCAATGGGTTAATTGACATCGAAGGGTGAATATTAGTATGATGTTACACGATGATTAACTGCGCTACAAGCAGCAAAGGCCTTTTATAGAACATAGATGAAACCAATGAAGCATCATGGTGGTGATTTTAAACCTGGGAGCCGCGACTTTGTAAGGCTGTTAATAATGTATCTGTCAGCCACTATCCATGTCTAGTGGCGCAAGCTCATGCAACCCTCGTGTAAGCTCAGAGCTGTCACCGGATAAATTTACTACACCTCAATTGTAGCTTATCAACGTTAAAACGGTGCGCTGCGACTTCAACTCTTCAGGGCCCAGAGGCATTGCACTTGTGAGCTTGTTGTCGCATTTCGCCGAGAAATCGCTGTACGTTTGGAAGACCAGCAAATCCTCTCTACAAATACCGTCACAATGACCTCAATCGCTTCCTCTGATGCTGGAAATTTGACTGTCGAGCCACTGTCAGAGCGCAATGTCTCTCGGATACCGCTTATTCTGCCTCATGAGCGCGTCTTTCCAATCCAGATCGGCAGCGAATTGTTTAAGCTCTCGGGGGCATCGTTATCCTCTGACGGTGAGTCTTGACTTTACAAGTCTCTTTGCGACAACTGACTTGTCGAATTGCGCCAGCGCAGTTGTCTAGCTCATAGTTCTCGACTAACGCCTCGCAGCACCTTCATACTTCTCTCAATACTTTGTTTGCCAGTTGGAATCGGCAAAAGAACGAAACGACGAGTCGAACTCGGCTATCCGAACGCTTTACATTGATCGCGATCCAGCTATCTTTCGCGATATCTCTCTTCATCTTCAGGGCTACCATGTACAGCCTCGCGACGGCGAGCACTTTGTGCGTCTGTTTTCAGATGCACAATTCTATAGCTGTTGGTCGCCTCCATCTTGCAACCCAGATTCTGAACTGACGTTTCGGCAAACAGTGCCCAAGCTAATCTCTCAGCTTTACGAGGAGAGTATCTTTATCTCCATCGGCCATCGCGAGTTTCAGATTCCTCGTGAGATCTTCAACGACCCAGGAAATTCTCCGAACTACTTCTCCCTTGGCTTCGCAGCTTTTTTCTCTCGCCCGGATGATCTCTTCCCTGGCCTTGACCGCGAAGGCCTAATCCGTCCACCCTCGATCCTCCCTCCTTCGGTTCCGAAGCGCAGCGCTGATACATTTGCCGAGCTCCTACACTTTCTCCGAGGATATCCTATTCGAATACGTGATGAAGCACACCGCCAGGATCTCCTCAGCGATGCGCGCTACTTTCATTTTAAGGGCCTTGAGCAGCGCCTTATCCCACATTCGTTAAGTTACAATCAAGCCACGAGACGTGATGAGATTGTCCTTCGTCTTGAGAACATACAGAAGAGTGGTGTTAGTGTCTTTATCAGCAATACAGACCCGTTGACCGGCTTTGTGCAATACGCTCGACCTTATGTAGACGAGAAGCCTGCTGAGCTGGTCCTTGAAATTGGCGGCGAAACAACCAAGCTTCATTTCTCAGGAAGTAATGCTAGGGCAGAATTCTTCAGGGACACCAAAGCACGAGTTGCAAAGTTGTTTGAGCTTGTCTCATCAAAGCTAAACTTTCACCAAGCGATCAAAACTGAACATCTCACCAACAACGGACAGTTGACAAACCTCGGAAACGCACTATTAAAGGAAGATCTTGTTCGTATAGTCCTGGAGCCCGACTCCGCCATTATTCTCGATGGGAAGGACTATCTCGAGGATTTCATCAGTGCCGCGGCGTCCGAATCTTCCGCAAACGAATACCCCCGGAAGCGAAAGCGAGCAGATGGTGACTCAGGCGATGAGGAGTGGGTTGTCACAACAGGGCAATGGAGGTTACGCATTCAGAACGCACCAAACGGCAGGGGTGTTGAATGCATTCTTGTTGCAGCGAAGCTTGATGCAATGCGCTCGCAATTGTCGCGCAACATGTCAAGGACCTTTCTGGGGAGCTAATTCAGTGTATTTCATGTGGTCTTTGCAGTCGTGGTGGCGAGAACAGAATTGCTCTTGTATTACGAATCAGATCTGTAACTGGCATATTGGAGATAATAAAGAGCATTTATGAGACGTCCAATAGTATGAGATGCCACACGGAAATACGAAAACAGGGGTATTTGACACAGTTATAGTGGTATTGCAAATACGGAGCGAACAATTAGTACACAATCCAACCAACGCATATTAATTATGACCAAAACCAACAAAAGACTTTGTCTGACACATGTCATGAGAATTCACGATACCATCCATAGAACGGCCATAGAAACAAGATGGAAAGTCGCTGAATGATGTTGCATGTTCTTGAGTCCCAAGTGACTTGGCGGCAACAGTCTATAGGGAAAACACAATAACGCCCCTTCGCCCTGCAGGAAAAGAGAAAAAGCGATTGGCTAACAGGTGAGCGGAAAGATAGGGGCCCATCGGGAGAGGTGAAAAGCGATAACTTTTTATGGATGGTCGGGTCGGGTCGGAAAAGAGAAATCTTTCAGGAGGAGGAAATAGGGGTGAATGTGAAGAGTAGTAGGGTGTTCGTCAGGTCGTGTCATGGCTCATACAATTTGGTCGTTCAACATTTATCGCCCTTTGCCAGCAACCTTGCCTGTGGGAGCACTCATATCTCGTCGTTCAACGCCCTCGACCATTCGACGGCTAGGTGTCATTGTGCCCTGTGCCATTGAACGGGCACGGCCACGACGTTCACGAATCTTGGCGAGAGCCTGCTCGCGTGTCATGGTGGGGGTGAGAGCAGGATTTGACATGTCGAAGGTGGTGCCTGTGCTGTTGTGGGATGGTGTGCGAAGGCGTTCGTTGAAAGATGCACTATTCCCGACCTTGTCGTCGTGAACTGGCACGGTTGTCGTAGTGGTGACGGTGTAGAAGGCATTTGTGGTGTGAGGTCGAGTGTCAGGAGAGACAAGTATATCCTCGGCCACGTCTGGCATGGTCGGTACTGAAGGAACAGGTGCCGAGTGACTGTGAGGAGCATTGAGAAGTGAGGCTAGTGATGTTCTTTCTTGAGCAAGCATGGCGAAGGCTGGAGGCTCGACTGAAGGGGTTCGTGCGTATCTCCGGTAGTTATCATACTCGCCAGAGTAATGGGGCTCCATCTCAGTGCCATCACCGATCGTGGTTTCAGCCTCAACTTGCTCTTCAATCACAACCTCGTCAACATCCTGAAATTCGCTCTCAGCATGACTTCCTCGCTGACCCTTGGCAGCTGCTTCAGTCTCTTCGATTTTGCGTTGTGCCTCAATGATCTCGGCCTCTTGCTCCGAAACTGTCCGAAAAATGCCTTCTTTGGGACAGAATATGGTACTTCGACGAGGCTCTTTCTTAGATTTAATGATGCGTTGAGGAGGCTCTTGGAGGTGCTGTTCTTGGACTGGCTTAGGCTGAGCATCTGCTCCTGTGTCGTACTCGGTCCTGGCATGCGGTTCCTCGATACGGGGAGGAGTTACAGCACGTTTCTCGCCCCCTACCTCACTGTCCAATTTCTGGACCTTGTCGTTTGGTCCCTCTAGTCCAAAAGAGCTTCGGCGTTTCTGGCGAGGGGCTTCAGCACTGGCACGACGGGTTGACTTAGAGCAGGCACAGCAACGGAGATGGCATTCGGCCTGTAAGAACTCAATCATCTCATGGGCACGGTCTGCTCTTTGACGCTCCCACTGCAACTGAGTAGACAATTCCTCAATCTCAACCTCACTGGCTTCCGAGGAGATGATGTCCATTGTCGACAGAGAAACTCGAGGATCTCTTGACACTCGACTCTTGTCCTTGTTAGGAGAACCAAACTCATCGTCAGCATCCTGTGGCGGCAGAGGAATACGACCCTCGGCAGCGATACGGGCAACTTCCTCGTTCTTGGCCGCAGTCTTGTAGGCGTCCCGTTCCTGCTCGACGAGCTTGATACGCTCCAATGCTTGATCTAGTTGTTCTTGGACACCAACAATCTGATAGCGCGCTTCGAATGCTTCTTGCTCTCGGACCTTGCTCCTAGCCTTTTCTCGTTTGAAGTTTTCGTCGATCATCTTGGCGTTTGTACGTGCTGACTTGAGTTCTTCTTGGAGCTTGACGATCGATGATTGTGTTTTGAACGTCTCTTTTCGTGCGCGGCGTATCTCCTTTTCCCATAAAGCTTGTGTGTGCGCATGGGTTTCCTTTGCTCGGCCATAGTTCTCCTATGACATGGTCAACATGCAATGTTTACATTGGTTTCCGAGACCACCTACCATTAACGACTCCAGACGTTCTCCGACTTTTCGCTCGCGGTCTTTACCCTCATCGATGGCCTTTCGTAGATTCTTGTTCTCCTCTCTATATCTGCGCAACTCAGTCTCGGCCTCTTCGCGGCCAAGCATGGCACGCTTCAAAGCAGCATCTGCGGTTTTGCGTTCCAACTGTTTTGATTGCATAGTAACACTGAGGTTGTTGAACTGGCTGATCTTGTCATGAACGGAGTTGTCTCTTGAGCCACCACGAAGGTGAGAGAATACGGACTCCCGCTCTCTTTGTTGGTTCACACGGTCCGCGGTGACGGCCTGAAGAGGGCCGCCCGGTGAGCCAGGTGGACTGTTTGTCTCTTCCATTGTTGTTGAATATAATTTCGATGCAGACGTTGAGGTAGATATGTGGTATCAAACTGAACTGATTGAGTTTTATCGCAAGTGGCTGCCGTTATGGAGGGTCGACAGTTAAGTTGAAGGTTATTAGTGTGTTGTGATAAGGCAAAGTTGAGTAAAAGTGGTGCTGGTGTGGTATCGATTGTTTACCATCCCACTCTGGTGTGTATCAATTGGTAAGTAAACTGTTGCTGTGGTGATAGAGACGACGTCAGGTGACCTCATGCGAGCAATTTGGACGTTTATTTCTAAGCCACCCCTAGTGGTGTGTTCGTAGCCTATTTTGAGCTCAACGCTCCAATCAGCTGCTTTTAACTGTGCTGACCCCGCGAAGTGGAGTGAGTTGGCTGATAGGCGTGCCAGAATCCCGATAAAGCTGTCCAACGTCGCAAGTTAATCCATTGATCCATGGAAAAGGGAAAAAGTTGAAGCTTCCGACTCCGAGCAGAGGCCAGGTCAAGGTGACAGGACACGCCACTTTATATTAAGATCGCCCCTATTGTAACATTCTTTGCTATAAATCTGTTTCTGTGTCCTTTCAATTCTTTTCTCTGCATCTTTTCTAATACTTGTTAAAGATCATATTTGTTACTTGTCAAGATGGCCGATGAATCAACTCTGCGACAGCGAAAGCCTCAGCCCAAGAACGAGACCGAATCTGAAGTCTCTCAGCCTTCCACCCCGACAAAAAAGGGCAAGAAAAGGTCCTCGGCCAAGGTCGATGAAGAAGACCCATGGGATGGCTACTCCCCTTACCTCGATGTCGTTCGTGTCATCAGCTTCATTATCGTGGCCTCAATGGGTCTAAGCTATGTTATCAGCGGAGGAGAGAGTTTCTGGTGGGGACACAAGAACAAGCCTAACTGGATGACCCAGAGATTCTACAAAGACTTGATTTTTGGACCAGTACGTTGAATCTATGATGATTGCCGGACTATTACTAACTACCGTTCTCCGTTAGCCACCACCTGTATATATGACTTTGGAGGAACTCTCCCTCCACGACGGTACCGACCCCGATAGACCTCTACTTCTTGCCATCAATGGTACGATTTATGATGTCTCCAACGGCCGCCGCATGTACGGTCCAGGGGGCTCCTATAGCTACTTCGCTGCCACCGATGCTGCTCGCGGCTTCGTGACCGGCTGCTTTGCTGAGGACCAGACCGCCGACCTCCGTGGTTATGAGGAGACTTTCCTGCCGCTCGACGATCCTGAAGTTGACTCTCACTGGACACCGGAGGCTCTTGCTGAGCTTAAGATCAAAGAGAGAGAAGATGCTAAAAAGAGGGCCGACGCCGCGCTCCAGCATTGGGTCGACTTCTTTGCCAACAGCAAGAAATACACCAAGGTGGGATATGTGTATCGGGAACCCGGCTGGCTGGAGAAAGAGAAGCCCAAGAAGCTCTGTGACCAGGCTCAGAGAAGCAGGAAGACCAGAAAGATTCCCAAGAAGGATTGATCCTTACTCACACTGGCGATGTTGTATTTTTAATTATTCTTTTATTGGCATACAACTATCCTTTTTCCAAACCTAACTGGGCCAAAGCTCAAAAGTCATGATATACATAACCGTGAAACATTAGAAACTTCAAATCAAGGGATAATGAGGATGATCTCTCTAATGGATTTGGGTATTCTTGGTTGTTATCTAAACGTTCAACCTTGATACACTTTCCCGTTGAACCTGGCCGTAAACACCGTTGATGACTGTGCCTATCCCGAGGCTGCCCAACCGTTCCAGCAATTGGTACAAATATCCCCATTAATTGTTTCCAGCATTATGTCTATCCATTCAAAAGTTCGTCACACGCTCAGCTTATAGTACATACAAAGCAGCGGCACCGACTGCGAGCAGCATCGAAATAGGGGCCTTGAGCTCAGCCGCAGCAGCAGTGACCACAGGATCGCCCGAAGAACCGGCTGTGGGAGTGCCAGTAGCTCCAGGAGCAGAGACACCAGTTGGCGTGCCAGAGCCATCCTCGGAACCGTCATCGGAGCTATCGTCACCGGAGGAGCTGCCGTCATCAGAGCTGTCGCCGCCGGAAGAGCTGCCGTCGTCTGAGCTATCGTCTCCGGAGCCGCCACCAGAGCTACCGCCCCCAGAACCGCCTGTGTTGGTGCCATTGCCACCATTTCCGCCTTGTGGGGAGCCGCCACCTTGAACAGGAACGACTTCGGAGACTGTAGCCGAACTGCAGAGGCTCTTGTAGTTGTTGAGCGATCTTGTAGCACTGGCAGATGTGCTGGATAACGTTTAGTAAAGAACCCTGACATAAAGTCGTAGCAGACTCACTTTTCGTTGATAACCATCGACATTCCACCCTGGCAGTGTTTTGCCTTGCTGCAGAACAGCCACATAGGCTTCTTGTCCTTGACCATGATGGTGTAAGTGGGAATCATGCCCTTGGACATGCTAGCCTCCACAGGCTGGTAGCCAGAGTAGATGCCAGTGACGTTCGACATCACGTTGCCAATGGGCACACAAGGGTCGTCGAAGGTAGACTGTGTCACTGTGTGGTTGCCAGCCCAGAATTGAAACTGAACCATGGTTCCTGGCTCTGCTGTGATCTTTTCAGGCCAGAACTTGAGGCCAGTAGCATTTGTTGCTGAGTTTCTGCCAACCGAGACGACTTGGACATCGACAGCTAAGAGGACTGTTAGTTGATTCATCTTCTATGGCTCCATGAGCACATACCTTCAGCAACAGCCGCAAGGGCTACAATAGCAATTTGAGAGAAATACATAATGATTAGAGATTTGGGATTGTGAATATTTGGTAGAGGTAAAGGAAGGGCACTCTGGGAGAGATGTTCAGAGATGGGAGCAAGGAAAAGAAGCGACTTGCGCTCTCAAGGACTAGCCTCGTCTAAGAAAGTAACAAGAAGAATTAATGAAAGATTGAAAGGACAAAGGAAACGCGTCCAATGGGAACAGGACCAGACTGTTGATTATGGAACGAGATGGAGAGATGAGGAGAAACAAAACAAAAGAGACGAGACGGATTGGTATATATACATCTACCTTGGGGCTTGGCCTATGATGGCCTTGACCCTGATTACGAGTTTCGAAGCACATCTGAAGCACGCCTCTCAACGGCGCCGAAAGATGGATCTTGGGGCTTCCGTCTCGGCTCCTCGGTAGACTTACAGGACAGGCGTAGTATGAGACACCATCAACAAGGCTTCGCTGGAAGAGTTGAGGAATGAAACAAATAGTGCTGGGTATGTCTTGGCTACGTGTGGTAAGGCTTGGGAACTACCCAGGCTATATGTCAGGTTCAGATATCGAGCTCAACGACATAATAATGTTGGCAACTGAATACAGAAGAGCGACTATCGCAAATCGGTTCAACGATTATGATAGCTTCCTCTTATTCAGATTTCCATCGTCAGTATTGATTTGGTGGTCTTACCGTTCGAAACGAGTTTGTTCATTTTGTTGGTCAACTCAACTGAGAAATCGTCCCATGGCGCTTAGTATGTCTATTATCCAGACCTATACTCCGTACCATAGCAGACTAACAGTTAGATATTTTCGGTGACTATAGGCCTCGGCTCCAGGCCCAACCGTGTCGGAGCAGATCAACCAGGGGCTCGTCTGCTTCGGAAGTGCCTCATCCGTAATATCTTGAGACGAATACAGTTTCGCTGCCACTATTGGTCCTTAAAGGGTATAAGGGCCACATGGGTGCAAAGCTGCCGTACGGTAATTTGAAACTTGAGAGCCTTGGCTTTCTCTTACCGCAGAATAACATTATTCGAGTCCGAGCTGACGTTGCATTAGTTTGTCGGGTTTCAGCTGTGATGTTTCGTGTTGGTTGCAGATTCTAAACGTACCTATGTGGGGTATTGCCATTTGGAACACCCCAGCTTTATTAACTCACTATGCTTATTATTAATCTCCTAATACGAATTTATTTACACAAGATGTTCAACGATTTTCAACTTGCTCGATAGACGGCTAAAGATCTCCTTAACCAATGTTAATTTTGAGGCTCACAAGGGAACTTCTTGGACGAAACGCCCATTTGTATAATGGGCGAGAGCAGTTACCAAAACCCAAGACTACCTTCAACAAACAGGAACGACAAGCAATAGCACAATACTAGGCTTAGCTCGCCACTATTATAGACATTAGAGTGGCTTGGAGATCAAAGGCCGTGGATTACATGATCCTTCTTGAGCGAGGTTTTAGGAGTTATTGCAAATGTAACCTGTCACGATCTGGAAATATGTGACAGCATCTCCAACTAGTTGACTCTGCGAATACGTCTTGATTCTTCCTTCATGTTAATAAAACGCTTACAACCCAAATCCGTGATACGGCAACTTGCCAGACAGCCCCAATTCAAAAATTCCATGTCCTCGTACATAGCTAGTGAAAGCTCACGCACTTGTGGTAAAAGACCGGGGTACGATCGCGAACACCAATATGAACAATCGGTCCTGACACAGTTGGACGAAACCAGGCGCAGTGCAGGCGACTATTGCTTCTATCGGATGGGACTCTGCCCTCACTTCCTTGAGCATGAGATGAATATCAGGCGTAGTGGAAGACATCGTGTTGCGTTAATGAGCTTTCGAAGATCAAAGTCTTGGCTGCTATTGTGTTAATGTTAATGAAAATCGGTCGAATGCTTTTCAGATTCACGTACCTGTATTATCGTCAAAGCGCAACATAGGAAGTCGCTGGCCCGCAGAGCCACCACACGCTCTATGTATGAAAGCGTCAGTCGTGCGCAATCTTCGCCAAGGCTTCTCTCCAGATGCATACCCATTGAACACTTCGACTCTTGTTCACCCCGAAGGTGGAAGAGATAGCAATTGATACCACTTAAAGATCCAGCAACAACTGTGGTGATACCTTCTCCAAGTCCTCAACTTCGAGAAATCCGCCATCCTTCTCGACAGCCGCTCTCGCAATAGCCTCTCTCACAAACACATCAAAGTATTTGCCCGCTGCGGCGTTTGCGTCTCTTGATATCCGCGTCGCATCTTTAGCGAAGAATTCGTGCAGCAACCGTGTGAGCAGCTCTGGCGGGATCGACTTGTCGGGTTCCTCTTCCTCTACAGCTTGTTCTCCACGCGTTGAGTTCCCGTGGCGATCGTTATCGTCATCTGAGAGCTCAAATGGATTGCTCGATTGTGGTTCGGATTCAGGTTCTGATGCCTTGGCGCCTTTCTTCGTTGCGGCTTTTGCTCGGCCACGGCCTGTACCTGATGATTGCTTTGGAGGCATGTCAAAGTTCAAGTAGACTCTAGGGGTCCAATGTCATAAAGTTGTTGCGCCGCGCAAGAATTACTCTGGCAACTGTATCGAGCTACACTGTAGGTAGATACTAATAGCTTAGTAAGCATCCAACGTCAGGTTACAGACAACAAAAACAACAAACCCCTCAGTATCACTAAGTCAAATAATGACGAAAAGGAAAGAGGATTGAAAAACGAAGTGACATCACAAGGATCAGTGGACAATATATGGACAGTAAAGGGAAATTGCATTGGTGTATAAATTACAGCGGCCTAGAACGGAAGGCAAAGCAAGATTAGAAAAAGACGCCGTGCCTATGCCACTCTAACCCGTCAAGAGCTGCTGTTTCAGAGGACCACGTCGGGTATCTGTGACAACTTCCCTCAACCTGCACTTCGATCTCGCCTTTTAATTTCAACCAGCGGACACCATGTCAAGCCCGCAGATTAAGATCCCCCCGGATTCCTTATCCCCCCACACACATGTCTATACAGGGTATGTTATACAAAGCGCTTATTTGAAGGCCTTGCCGAAGAGGAGGACCTGGAGCTGATCGTAGATGGAGAGGACACCAGCACCGGCAACACCACGGAGAATGTTGGCACCAGCACCCTTGAAGAGAGACTTGACACCCTCCTTGGCGACAATCTGGCGGGCAGCATCCATGGTGTTCTTGTACTTGACGGCCTCACCAGAGGTCATCATCATGCGTCGTCGAATGGTGTCAAGAGGGTAAGAGGCGATACCGGCACCAGTGGTGACGATCCAGCCGAGAGCGAAAGAGGCAAGGAAGTTGTTGGCCAGGTTACCGACAAGGACGACGGGCTTGATGGAGTCGTACATTCCGAAGTAGAGACCACGGTAGACAACGATACCAGCAACGGAAGGCATGAAACCACGGTAGAGACCGGCAATACCATCAGAGGCGAGGGTCTTCTTGTAGACATCGACGAGACCGTTGAACTGACGGTCACCACCCTTCTTAGCGTTCTTGGCATCGTTGGCAAGACGGGTACGGGCGTAGTCCAGAGAGTAGACGAAGAGGAGGGAAGTGGCACCAGCGGCACCACCGGAGGCAAGGTTACCAGCCATCCAGAGGGCGTAGCCATCCTTGTCCTTCTTGTAACCGAACATCTTCTTGAACTTGTCACGGAAAGCAAAGTTCAGAGCCTGGGTAGGGAAGTATCGGATGACGTTGGCGGTGTTTCCTCGCCAGAGGGACATGACACCCTCATCGGCCATGGTGCGCTTGAAGCAGTCACCGATGCCGGCGTACTTGCGGTCGAGACGACCGGTCTTAAGCATCTCATCCTGTTGGGAGTTAGCGACTGAGATTGAGCATGCATGATCGTATTTAACTGACCTGGTTCTGGATGAGGAGCTTGACACGCTCGATGGGAGCGGCAGCGGTCTTCGAGACGGCGGCGGAAACACCACCCACTATAAGTTGTTAGTATCATAGACGAGGCGTTTGTTCGTCAAGCACGACAAAGGACATGGTGCCCAATGTTTATGTTGATAAGCGGTAGCGACGTGGGAACATACTCAAGAAGTCGGCCATGAAGGGCTAAAAGCATGTTAGCATTCTACTCTGACATATTGCGAATATTGTGGCAGTCCTGTGGAGATGCCAGCTAAGCAAAAAACATCGCATCTTCATCAACCAAAACCCATTGAGTGAATTGCAATCGAGACATCCACATTCGGTGATCGATTGCGTAGAAAGACTCGCGGGGGGCTAATTGATGAAGACATCATATTTTGATGCCGCGGCATTTCACGGTCGAGGGGATCTGTGATGAAAGGAAGAAGAAACTTACCGGCATGCCCAAGACCTTCGGGGGTTGCTCAGCAGACATGGTAGCGGTTGTGAAGGTCTTTCCCTTAAACAAGAAGAAAGGATTGAGGGGAGATTGAGGATGAAAGAAGAAAGAGAGAGAATGGAGGAGTCGAGAGAAAATAAATCTGCGCCGACGGGGGGTGCGAGGTATTTGGGGGGAGGGAAAAAAATTGCGGCGGATCTGAATGAGAGGCGCTTTTGAGCGAATCTTTCCGGGCCGCGCTAAAGGGAGCTGGGACCCTAGCCAACCAAGACCAAACCAACCTGTACTGTCCACGGCAACAGTGCGGGTTAGAAGCCTGAGGCCACAGCCTCGCCCAGGTCTGTGTGCCCCGGGTACCCAAAGCGCCTCTGAGCTTTTTTCAGGGGGTGGACAAGTGGCCACTCAGTGGCGATCAGTGAACTGAATTGTGGGTAATTTTTGGCACAAATCCAGGTTTGAGCTTGCTGCCCGGCTGCAAGATGAGATGCCGGTTCACCCCGATTTTTTGTCGAGCGCCGAGACCTAGACCCATTCCAAGACATGGGAGCTCTCTTCGGGGTCATTTTTTACTGTATGGGGTACTGTACAATACAGTAGGTACCTACCTCTAAATTTGGTGCTTATAGGCTGTAGGCGGCACCTACGGGCTCCTGTGATGATTAGGTGACCCCCAGAAGCATCCATGATAGTTAATTGCCCTGCAGGCGGAAAAGTTTTCTGTGTGCACAGCATTTATGGGAAACAACAATAAATAAACCATTTTGAACCGATTTCTAGTCCATTGTGTTTCCATGGATTTCTCTCACCGCACTCACCATCATGTACTGTAATTGGCTTATCTCGATCAAATGTCGTCAGTCTCTCATTACTTTGGATACTATCTCTCTGCCATCCCTCCCTCCATCATGACATCCTTTCACCCACCTTTCCTAGCCCCAGCTCGTTCTCTAATCCACTAGCTTCCGGTCTCTCCACAGGTCGCAACGCCCGAAATAAGCCTGGCACACCTGGCACAGTGCGCAAGCTTTTTGCGTCAATCAAGGTGAGCCACGGCTGTGTTGGTCTTGGTCTCCTTGGATCTTCCTCATCGCCTACCCCGGTTTGCACCCCCTGGTTCAACCTATCCGTCCAATTGGTGTCTGTTTGTTTGAGCTGTCCTGGGGAACAATCTTTTTTTCTTGATCAGAATTTTGCTCGGGTCCAGTTCTGTTCAGCAACCGAGGAAGCTTCTAGCTCAGCGATCTCCTGGAGTAACCGCACCACCCCGGCTCAACTGGCTATGTATTGGCTTATCTGTGTCCATGAATATTGTTCGCTATGATACTCGAAAATTGTGAGTTCAATAGTAAATGCTTGTGATCAATTGTCCTGGCTTCATCAGTCTATTGGCAACGATATCCCATATGGAAACCAGAGGCCCACAAGAAAGGTGCTATAACGTTCAACTAACTATTGAATAGAACCCTTCTCTGCTTCTGGGAATGATTGACTTCATGTTGACGGACAACATGTGAACCAAGAGTATAGATAGTTCTTGCGGTCTGAGGGAATCATGGTGAAAGTTTATAAATATTGAAACCACGGGAGAGAATGTATTCCTCTTAGAGATTCTCTGAATACGGTTTATGAAGCTTCATGAAATAAGGTACCCAGACCTTGGCAGAAGTCTACTTCTCTCATGCTTCTATAATAGAGGCCATTAGAGGTACGCAGCTCTAGACAGCTGAAGGTTAGAACATAGGGCCTCTTGCTTAAGGGATGAAACCCTTTGCATGAGCTTAGTGGGCTTTTTGATGAGCTTGCTTAGACTTCTCATATCAAGTTCTGAAGATTTCTTGTTCTCCGAGGGCGGGCTGCGAGGATATGTAGCTTTTCTCAGACTTCGGTCGAAAGAAAACAAGCTCACCATCCCCTTGAGCCGAATGAAAAGTCAGCCACCGCCCTGCCGCCTCACTGATGTCTCTTTGGGAAATGTACCATACCATACAGTGTGAAAAAGGGCTTATCGTCATGTAGATTCGGCAACCTAGGTTTTTCTCTCCAGCTATGTCGTTCGTCCTTATTTAGTTTATCTCTCGGGACGCCCGTTTACTCAAGTCAACACAATCCGTGAACAGTAATGTTCGTCAACTTCATGATTAAAACCCTAATGACTTCGTTCTCTGCCTCTTCCTTAGAGAGGTTTATCATAGGGTCATTTCAAACATCTAACTATAAATCGCTCAGGATCTTGCCAAATGTTTTTGCTGACCCTCTTTGGAGCCATTGACCTATAAAAACCGACCTCTTGAAAAGGACAGAAGCCCTGTCATCTAGTCTCCTGCCTTATTATAGATTGCGATTTTCCGACACCGCGCTGCCACGAAGGTGAAACAGGCATCATGACTATATGATATCTGTTGCTCTGCTATACCCAGACTGACCGGTCTTTCCAATCTTACGGTCGTTTCGTTACATCAGTGGCCAAACCTCTGCCATTCGGATAGCGGATGTGAAATATATATGGCACATACGTACTCTGTACTATCTGTCCACAGACCAGGCAGCTACGTCCCATCTAGGTTAGAGTGTATGACCTGTGTCCATTCTCCATTGAGTTCCCTCCTGGCTATCAAGTAAAAGTCATGATAAGAGGACTGCCTCAATTGTTTACAAGGTACTGGGGGGCTTGATGCCTTTCCTGATTTATATGTATGTTCACATAATCTACAGCAAAACACGGTCCGTATGCTATGCTACAAGAGCATCTTCTGTAAACGTCAATACCACAACTAAATTGCCTACCTCTGAAGATGTTTCAGGTCACGTGCTACATTGAGACTCTTCAACGTGTTAGATTCTTGCCCGTGATGCAAGACTCCCAGTACAAGACTCATCTTCTCTGAAAGCTTGGAATTCGATATTAAGATAAAATTGAGGGTTTGACGAGAAACAAGGCTACGCTGGCACTATTAGGTACTACAACGATATCCAAGCAACCAAAGCCAGTGCCATAACCTGGTGTCTATGGGGAACGAAGGTAGGTGCTGACAGAGACTTTTACTTTACACCTCAGGCCTCAGCATACGCAGCGTTTGTCTGAGTCCAAAATGGTAACTCATTGTCGAGCTAGGTACTGAGGAGTAAGATGACAGACAATGAAATTCCTGGCAAGCACTGGAGGCCGCAGATGGAATACTAGTTCCTACTTGTGCGAAGGAGCAGAGAAGTCGTTGTTTTAACAGCTACACCGCATAACCTGGCAATCATTCTTCGCAATCCTCATTAACCTGTGTTGCTGGCATACGAAGTCGTCAGTCGCTCTAGTATGGAAGAGATAGGCTCTGGAATCAGAGTTAGACATTTCAGGTCAGCAGTGATCATAGTGTCGAATTTCAGTTTTGTTGGAGGTCCCAAGGACCCAAATTCGATTGCGAACCAGCATCGCAATTTGTAGCCAAACTCGGATCTCTGAGTCAAGAGTAGAATAGATTGACAACGATTTCTATGAGCCTTTGATAAAGGTAGTTGAGGACGCCAGAGCAACGGCCGCCTGCTCCAGTGAATCTCCCACCTTGTCACATGTGCGGGTGACCCAGGTAACCCTCGACACATTGTAGGCAACAGATGTTGGGTTTGCAATATCATATATCATTCAGCCAAGCTTCGGTTCAACAAGTGCTCATACCTCGCAATGTTTGATAGCCTGTCAAACGTTAAGTAGTTGCAGAATGGTTGTGGGAAATAGGACGGTGGCATATCTTCCCATACTATCGGGACACATGGTTGTAAATCACAAGGAACTATAGTTTGGTCGTTTCGAAGATTTTTCATTCCGTTGCCTTGTGTGCTAAAGCAATTCCGTCCCAATGCTTAACCGAGCATGAATAGCGTCCTAAACCAGGCTTATTTTTCGCCTTGCAACATCCTCCGACCATGCGGCCTGTCTATCGTCCAGGCCGCCCAGACGCACAATCGTGAGACTCAAGTTTATCGTTCATTGCATTTAGTCAGAACCACCGACGGCACGGGCTGAGGTCATGTTAGCAGTTGATCGGATACGGCGCATCGGGCCAGAATGTTCGTGCGAGAAGGGGGAGGAGGCCATACTGTAGATCTTCATCTTGCTGTGAGTGACCACAGGCTTGATGATGCCCTTCTCCTCGAGGTCGGCAAGGCACTGTCGTGCCAGAGAACCGTTGATCTTCATTCGGTCGACGAGGGTGGCAATGGTGACGAGACGGTAAGACTGCACATCCTTGTAGAGCTTCTCAGAGGTGGTCTTATCGAGAACGACGGCGTGTTGGGCCTTGTCCTTGACCTTTCCCTTGGACCTTTGATGATGCGTAAGTTTTTTTGGAAATCGTCGATGAACGGTACGCCTTATACATACCACTTCTTCTTTTGCTTCTTTGCTCCAGCGGCGGGGGCCTGATGTCCAAGTCAGTCAAAAATTCATGTTTGCAAAGTCTGTCGTCTCAGCGCTGAGGGAGGGCATCATCGCGGACTTACCATTTTGTCTGATGTGCTGTTGTCTGGGTTGGACAAGACAAAGTGTGGTGTTCAATCCGAAGACCTCGCTCGATTGACACTGCGCGATTGGAAAGTGGAAAGGGCCACCCCAAGATGTTGCAGGGCAGCCGAGCCCTAAGAAAAAAGAAGGTGCGACCCTGACCCGAGGTCAGTGGTTGCCCTGATTGGTTGCACTCGCCCCACCCTAAGCACATTCTGCCCTCCCATCGTCTCTCTCCAATCTCAGTTGCGCCCACATTGTAAACTTCGATTTCGAACTCCCTCCCACTTCGATCACAACTGTACTAACCGCAGCCCGTCAGTCCCGAGACCACTGCAACAGCCAAAATGTCTGACGCCGGCGAGATCGAGGTCGAGAACTCCGCCCTCTATGAGGTGCTCCCCAAGGATGTTGTCAAGGAGGTTGGCAATGTCAAGCTCTTCAACAAGTGGGACTACGATGTCGAGGTCCGCGACATCTCCCTGACGTACGTTTTGACTCTGAAGAAGTTATCTTGAAAAACTTCACTTGTGCGCGACGGGATGCTGACGGATGGCCTACGAATAGTGACTACATTTCCCTGCGAAACCCCGTCTACGTCACCCACACTGCTGGTCGATATGCTACAAAGCGATTCCGCAAGGCCAACTGCCCCATCATTGAGCGATTGACCAACTCTCTGATGCACCACGGCCGCAACAACGGAAAGAAGCTTATGGCTGTCCGAATTGTCGCCCACGCCTTCGAGATCGTACGTCCAACCTAAGAAGCCCCCGAAGGGGGAAATATTTTTTATTGGCCTTTGCAGAGTGCTAACATCAAGGGTAGATCCACCTCATGACCGATCAGAACCCCATCCAGGTCGCTGTCGACGCCATCGTCAACTGCGGTCCTCGCGAAGACTCTACCCGAATTGGTTCCGCCGGTACCGTCCGACGACAAGCCGTTGATGTCTCTCCCCTCCGCCGAGTTAACCAGGCTATCTCTCTCCTCACCACTGGTGCTCGCGAGGCCTCTTTCCGCAACGTCAAGTCCATTGCCGAGTGCCTTGCTGAGGAGCTGATCAACGCTGCCAAGGGTTCCAGCAACTCTTATGCTATCAAGAAGAAGGACGAGTTGGAGCGTGTGGCCAAGAGCAACCGATAAAAGGTGCAACGGTGGTATCATGATTGGAAGGGTTGGCTTTGGCGCGTTCCGGCTTCTTTCCAGAATTGCATTTTGCGTTCATCGGGTCTGGGAACGCGGCTAGGGATTTTCTTAGGTGGCTCTAGATTCAATAAAAGTCGAGCTCCCTTAGAGGTGAATGAACTAAAATTCAATGTATAAGCAAAAGCTGTCTGTGTTTATAATTATATTGGTTTTCCACGCCCGGCTTAACTGACTGTCTCGCCTATGGAGAGAAACTCAACATTTTGTCGTTCCCTTTCAACTCGTTGCAGTGGTATAATTGACTATGTTGTTTTGAGGAATAGAAGGCAACTAATCTAGACGGGATATCTTCTCTGAAATCTCCAAGCGCTGAAACATACCAGCATGAGGCATACCCTCTTCCCACCAGGTGCCCATCTCCTCATCTACTTCAAATCCCCATTTCTTCCAAAGCTGTACCACCTGCTTCTGCGCATGGACGCAGACGAGTCCTGACCACTGGGGAATCACCATGACGTCTCCGACTGGATTGAGATGTTCGAGGCCGACAACTTTGATGTTGGGATTGAAGTACGACGGGTGAGCTTTCAGCCAACTGAGCACTGTATTGACGAGAAGTCCAGAGATGCCATGTCCTCGGAACTCTTTGATCACTGCCAGTCGTCCTAGTTTTACATACGGCTCTTGGCCGTTATGAAACGTCGTCTCCCGGTCTTTGATATATGGCTTGATTCCCGACGATGCCTTCGTCTTCTTGTGTCCATTCTGGCTACCATTATCGTCTTGGAGGATCCCATTCCAGTATTTGCCCCCTCTCTCTGGGTGTGGGTCGTGCGGAAACGGCACCAGTCTGATGGTTCCGATCGGTGTTGAGCGTGTCGAGCTCTTCCGAGGTTGTATCACATTTCCCTCTTCGTCGCGAACTTCCAGCTCCTCGACCTTATTGACGCTAGCGTAGACAACCCAATGGCACGAACGAGGATCATCATCATCAACTTCGTTCTCGGCTGGAACATTTTGCTCCTTGACAAAGACTTGCTCGCGAACTTCCATGGCATCTAGGAAAGTTTGTGAGATCGACGATGGCTGCTCTTCGAGAGGCGCTCCACGTTTGTATCCGTCAAGCTTGCTAGGCTCGAGGAGACTGATGAACGGTGTCCCCATTTCAAGTGTTTCTTTGTTGTAGCTCCGTATATTCTTTGGTATGATTTGAAGGCAAAACTTGATCAACGTAGGGCTAACTTGTAAGATCGGTGAAGGTGGTAAATGTGGGAAATGTCCCTGCCGCGTGGAAAAGAAATGATCTGAATGCGTCGAGATAGCAGAATACCAACTACCTAGATTGAAGGCGCAAGGGAAAAAAAGGCAAGGTGTGTGATATAGGCACCTATGAATTGCTGCGGCTGGGTTCGGCTAATTTTCGAGCGTTATAATAAGAGTTATAAAATAAAAAAACAACCGAGAACTCGATCTTAAAGATGGCGACGTGGTTGATAGCAATATCAGATACACCCATCAAATATGATGTCAATCCACAGCGCGGGGGTCATAGCAAAACCGAGCTACCTATGTGCGGCGATTTAATCCTGCCTGAGTAGTTTCACTGATAACATCCATGGCTGACAAACAAACGTGGATTATCGATTGGTTTAAAATCGAAAATGTAACGTGCATCTGCTCGCCACTCCAGGATATCTTGAATTGTGTGAGAGGGTTTTGCAGCCATTACCACCCAGAGAGGTCATCACCACATTCTGTTGTTTTTGGGTGGACCCTACTTGAGCTTAACTAACACGCAGAGGATCTACTTTTCGATTATACAAGGCCCACCTGCTTGTTCCGTCAACGGCCCACCCGTCTTTCGTGTGTCGTTCGCTGTGAAGAAGCTTCTTCGATAATTGTACATAATTAGATGCGTAGAAAGTGGCAAACAACCATCATATTAATATATAACAACAGGACCACTGATGATGCAAGATCTAGAAACCCGAATCACCTAGACGTGGTTATTGGGAACATGTACTTCTTTGAGAGAATATCCCTTATGCGAATACCGACTTAGGCTGTCGATTAACACATGTATATTAGGAATCTTGCAAGTTAGAGGCCTGAACCGTTGTCAATCCCTTTCAGCACGTCTCTTGCACACATAAGAATCTATGGGGGTGTTAGACAGCTGCCTTGTCTAGATTTGACTCGAAGCTTCCGTCCTTGAATGGGACGTTGGCACTGCCGAAGTCAGTGTTTGTCAAAGCTGTACGAGCCGCAGCGGTCAAACTCTCCCAGGCAATAAGCGGCTGCTGGCCACCTTGGTCGTTGGTAAAGATCATTTGGTGGTTAGTGGGCCAGATGGCAGTATATCCCACTAAAGGACTGTTTCCGGAGAATGTACCAGACGTTCTCTTGTCATATCCTCCGTGTTGAGAAACTGCCATGCCAACAACTGTAGCACTTGTGCTTTCACCAGACAACCATATCACCGCGTTTTCCCAGTCGTGGCGATGTCCTAGTCCGGGAGAGGGTGAATCCTTTGGCATGTACCAAGAGTACATAATACCGTAGCGACCATTGTAAGTCCCGCCTCGTACGTAGACCTGGCCCGTACTGCTACTGCAACCTCCATTAGATGAGCCACTTGTGGCTAAGCCTCCACTAACAACCAAGTCAGCTCAGTTCGAGGACGTCTAAACTTAACATACCCAGTGTTTCCGTTACTATCAACCGCGGGAAAGGGCACACATCCGTTGAAGACCTTGAGGTAAGGCTTGTACTTCAGATAGAGTGAGCCAGCTGTATTGGATGGAACAGTTTGCGGAAACCCAACGACAGCATCGTGGTTAATAACAGCACGGCGCTCGATAGGTGATGCAAGGATACCTGAAGCAAGGGCAAAGCCCGACAGAAGTTGAGTAATGAGCACCATCTTGCTTGGGGTTGCTATCGGAAGTGAGTATTCAGTGGCAGACATAGGGGGGTATGCATACTTGGAGGTGGACAATATACCAAGTACGTAGCGGTAGCTCCGGTCTGTTGATCAGAGACTCGGAGGTCATTCTTTCAGCTGGGAAACTGCCAGCTTATAAGTTGGCCGTTCTTGGACCTCCGCCTAAGATACAACGTTAAACCGCAGGGCTTATAATGGCACGAGGCTGTATGAGAACATTGAATTGGCGGATTATATAGCAATCCCCGGTCGTAGCGTGTACTTTGTGCTTTGGGCTGCCTTATTGGGAATTATGGCCGAAGGCATAGTCTTGGGGAGAAGCAGTGTGGGGGTTTGCTCTGATTATGAGGTAAATGGGCTATGGTGTTAGTTGTGAGTTGGTTCAATTAGATGCTAGAGCAAGACTCAAGAATCGTTCAGAATATAATTGAGTTACTATCCTCTGCGAGTTGGAACGATTGCCCTGACATAACATACGAAGTTACGGAGTAGAGGTCTCAAGGAGTGTTGTTATGGTGTATCTCTAAGGTGGTTGGTGACGATGATCAGAAGCCCGTGGTGTAGTAGAGCATCTGATTGGGGATAGATCAACTTGACGTGGCTGTCAGGTGGGTGTTTGCCCCCGGCGGTTCTCCACTTAAGGACATGGGTCTTTATGTTATTCAATGGTCGACTGCCGATAACAGAGGAACTACCCGACGACTGCACTTGAACACCCCGGCATTTCCAATATGCACCTTTTTGTATTGGGATTCAAACTCGCATTCTCTATTACATTTCCAATGGCATAATTCATATTTCTTTTAGTCCAAATAAACTCAAAGACTTTGAATCAACATAAGGCTGCACAGGTGCTCGCACGTAAGGTCAATACGCCCGTCAGGCTTAGATTATGAAATTGGGTCGGCAGTCATAAACCAACTAATAAAGAAGAGCAAAAGCAGTACTCGGCTCCCATCCCCTGATAACTACGGTCACATATATATGCCGTCGCTTACAAGTGTGTAGAGCTCTGTATTAGTAGTGTTAAAGGGTCTTGTATAGACTGGTCTAGGGTAACGAAGTATATCAAACTTGAGTATTTCCTTCCGCATATTACACATGCAATGAAGCTTCGGTTTCGGTATGGGACTATCTAACTGGAGTCAGAAGCTTGCTTCGCTGGAGTTTCAAGCTCTGTTGGAATTGTGTTTATTGATGTGATTAAGTTATTGCGGACACGTTGGTATCCCATATGGCAAAGACCTTGATGATTTGAATAGCCACTATCCTCGATTCAACGTGTTTGAATTAAAATATGAAGACGAGCAGCTGCTCGTACCGATTTGACTAAGTTTTTAGGGTATGCAGCTATGAATGTTTCAGATGTTTCTGGTGGCACTGAATCCACGATACCAAAGTCACGCCTCTTTGTAAACCACAAGCCACACATGCAGGATGAGGTTGGCCGTGGTACATATCAGAGTTCTGGGCCTAACTAATGCAGGGTTGATGCAAGGATGTTGTAAGCATTCTCACCACGGATCTGAGTTCCGTGGGTTGTCTCAGAATTGGAGGCTTAAATTCCAACATGGCAGGGTCGTTATTCAATTTGGGTCATCAGGTTTCCCTCGAAGAGGGTGAAGTATCGATGTCTCTATACTACCGGAAATATGATTCCGTTTTATGTCCGGTCAATTGGTTGCTGGCGGTTGGTTGACCCTTTGAGGCTATCATGTAAGACAAGACATTCCTTTGATCAAAGTCGGTGGCTTGAATATGAATATCACACGATGCGCATTCTGGCTGTCTGGGCAGGCAGTGGAACCCGACTAAAGCAAGGGCACCAAATCTGCACGATGATTCATACAGATGATAGACCAAGAGCTAGAGTTGGGAATGTTGATGCGAACCCTGCATATAGATGGAGATAGATACATAGGTAAGGTACCAGACGATTTGGACGCGGGCCGTCGATGAGAGTGGGTTATACTGGCACGAGCCAACTCGATGACCGGACACATTTCGCATTTCGTCTGATCTGAGCATTTATCGTATTAGAATCTGCACGGAC